ATCTCCACTGATTTTGGTGGAGCTCTGCCAGTTCCTGCCACCTGAGGATCTGCCCTGCTGTGCTGAATGCTGGTCTAAATTCAGCCTTTTTTTTAAGTCATGGCTTAGCAATGCAGAAACGAATACTCTCCTTTTATGAATATTCTAGTAACAATGAACATAGTTGTACAGCGTCTCACAAATAACATGTGATACCTATATCAAGACTTCTGCAATCGCAGCCCAGCCTTTCATCTCTTCTTTTGTTGTGATGAGAGATGCAAATAATGGGTTTCTCAGGTCCATTGCCTAACTTAAAAAAAAAAAAAAAAAAAAAAGGAAAAGTACTGATCTGAGTTGTACAGAAATAATTTGCGGGGGTGGGGAGTAGAAGAGGAAGCTTGACAAAATTCAGTATTGCAGTTTAGGTCAAGTTTGTTTTTTTTTTTAATTGGATTTTTTTAATTTTTTTATTTTGGGGTTTATTTATACCCGAAAGCTTACAAAAAAGAAATTTTTCCAACTAATTTGAGTTGGTCAAATAAGATATCAGATTTACCCAAAGCACCTCGCCTGCCTGTGTCCTTAGATCAACACGGCTACAACCTATATCCCTGTGTTTTCTGAGCCATTTCACCCTTTAAAAGGAATAGGTTGATTGCAGGGTGGCATCTTTCAATTAAAGTAAAACAGATTTTAAAATGCTGAGCAGGCTGGACGGTTAGGGTTAGGGTTGTGATATTTGAGAGGGGCTCTGGGGTGGTTAGAGTTGTGGAGAGCGTGCCTGTCCCGACTCGGGATCACCTCCTAATAGGCGCCCCTAACCCTGTGATTCCCAAGCAGGTGCCATGGCACTGTGAGGTGCCTTGAGATCCTTTTGAGTTTGCCATGGGGCACCACGCAGTGTTAGCACGGTTAGGTGTGCAAACATGGTTCACAAGATCAACCTAGTAACATCAAATAGGAATCCATAGTATTAAAAGTCGGGCCTGTTGTAGGCTTTCTGATCTTCGCAACAGCAGAATTGCTCTGTTTTTTCTGTGGTCAAAAAAGGGAGTGAAAATCTCAAGAGCCAGCATTTTTGGAGGGGTCCTTTGAGTCTGCAAGAGGTGGAGGACCACTGCCATAACCCAATCACTGCATTGCCATCATTTCACTACTTTCTGTGGCCAAATTATGGTTTGGTATCCATACAGAACAAAGTCTGAATAGCCCTCGAGCTATCCCAATAACCCAGACTTGGTTTCTGATGTCACCATTCACATGTAAATAGTAGGAATGTAACTCTAACTAGGTGCCAGCTATTCTGCTCACAAATGGAGACCACACCCTAAATCTTCCCTTATCTGCTTGTTCCTAGAAATGTTTCTTGCAATGGTTATCCATCCACCTGGAAGGCTCTTACAACATGAGTGACCCGCCTAAATTTATTATGTTTGGTCTCCCACGTTATCTGCATTTATTTTCTTGAAAGGCTGCTAGGCAAGGTTTAAAAAGGTAAACCCGAAAGGAATTTCTTTAATGCACCCACACCCACCCCTTTTAAAGACGCTTAATTCCAGACTAATCACATAGCAACTCCATGTAAATGAGCTTATTTAAGAGTCCCTCCTATCAATATCTGTTCTTGCTCCAGACACCCGACTCTCTAAAATGTTAACTTTTGTTTAACCCTTGCTTTGTTCAGCCCCAGAGGGCTTCACTTAGAGCATTGTCTAGTTGTAGGCGCTGCACTTCAAGAACGATCTACAGTGGAGAGCAACACAACTTAAAGAGGAAAGGTTGGAACAACTGAGATGACTTGAATCTGGAGGGGAAAAAAGACTAAAGGGAGATTTAACATCTCTTCAGATACTTAAAGGATGGTTATAGATGACTCACGGTGGTCACAGAGGGCAGGACAAGGAGTTAATGGTCTTAAATTTCAGCAAGGGAAATCTTAGGTTGGACCTTAGGAAGAACTTTCTCGTTATGCAGGTCATTAAGCATGGGAGCAGATTTAACTAGAGACATTGTGGGATCTCTAGCCCTGGAAATTTTTAAAGGTAGGTTAGACAAACATTTGTTTAAGATTAGCTTAGATGGGAATGATGCTGGCCTGAGCCAGGAGGCTGGACTAGATGAAGTCCCTTCCAGACCTACTTTCCTATTCTGTCGCCGTTTATAAAATCAATAAATTCATAATTCCCTATCCCAGGCATACTCCAATGTGTTTGTTATTGATGAATCTCAGCTTTTTTGATGGTGCCCTCAAAAATATTATTTTTGTACTTCCAACTTTTCAACTCTGGATTAAGCCCGCGACAGCTATGTGATGTCTAACCTCTTTTCCCCACATACGTGCAAATAATGCCTATGAGAACTGGGGAGCTAATGTTTGGGTTGACTGGCAATGCAAGTTTTGTTGGGCGGCAAGGGAAAAAATACTTTTAAATGTGTTAGAATTGGTCTGCTCTGCGTATTGTCTTTGAAAATGCATAAGCACGTGGCTTTCTAAACCCAGTGCCAGTTTGTGCTCACGTGTGCTATCATGTTTCCGATTTAAATCCCGATTGTGTATTGGTTCACACCACGCCCAGTCGTGCACGTCACTCAAAGTAGGATCCCATTGTTTAGAGCGTAGCTAACAGTGGAGCGAGGGCATCGTCTTACGGTAGCACGCTGCTCTTGGCACAGTGGTACCCTGACTGCCCGGGGCTACAATACAAATATCTTTCTGACCCTTTTAAAAGAACTGATTTAATCAGCGAGCTTCAAGGCTGGGACAGAAGTGGTGACTCGGTGAGCGGACAAAGCAGAAAACAAGAGTGTGGGTTATGCTAACAATGCACGAACTGTTCACTGCTCCCTTTATGCACTAAGCTTCCCCCCCAAAAAATTAATATGGATGAGAGTAAGTTGACCTCGGAGGTTGGATTTGACGGGCGTCTTATCAGTCCCAAAGCTGTATCCACGAAACTTAGCCCGGTTTCCTTGTTAAATTGGTGGTATGGTACCACCCATTTGGTGGTAGTACACAGCCCATGGTCAGCCATGTTGATGACCCCAATAAAGACTTTTTTTCCAGTTTTCTGCTAGCTGTTGGGGGGGGGGGGAAACACAACTGAATTAATTTGCTCCCTGCTTAGAGTAGATTTCTATGAAGTGTATTGTTTAATAACTCCAGCTTCCAAATAATTGCTGGTCGTGAGCTTAAAACACATTGAGGTGTAATGAATGCTTTGGACGGTGCATAGGTTCACTCCCAGCTGTAGGAGACGTCTAGATTGTCGTGTTAGGAGGTGGATTTAAGTAGAAAGAGGACATTACAGAAGGGGCCATTGCAGTCACAAAAATGCGAGATGCTGTTCTCTCCCATATTGTGCAGCTAAGGAGAGCTCTGCTTTGCATCAAATTAAGGCTTTCTAACAGGCGGCCCTCGGTTTGTCAGGTAGTTAAGTTACTTTATTCATGTAAGTTAACAGCCTGTCCATCAGAAAGCCATCCACCTGGTAAATGGGCCAATACTGCATATACTTACAAGTGAATTATGCAGAGCTATATGGAGGAATTTAATTCTTCCCCTCCTACCTGCATGACGTACTCCTCTGTCCTGGCCTTTAAGGGCCTATTAGCGAAATGTCATTTGGGAGGCTTATTAAGATTATAAATCGTGCTAGAAAAGCAGAGGGCAGACGAAAGCAGCGTCCGACTCCTTTTAATTGCTGGTCATTTATTTGGCCAAATGCTTGCTGAAACAAAAAAAAAATAGCTTTGGAAATAACAGCTTTCCTTGGATTTATATTACATTTTAAAAAAACGACATTGAACGCCATTAAGACTGGGAGGACAAAAGCTCAGGAGTTAGGATAGAGGGTCATTTATCGCACGTTGCTCAAATCTGTTGATACCTGTTGCCGGTTGCTCTCCAAAGGACAGTCGGGAGTATTCGGACAGCGAACGGATGTTTTTGGTAGCTGGAAAATTTGGTCCTCTTTTCTGTTTCATTTTCATATTTCTGCTGTGGACTTCGGGTCTGGCTTTGAACAAGTCACTGCTGCTTTCCACCCCCCGCGTCTCCTCCTTTCCGCTTGTAAGATGATGGTGATTTTTTCTACTTCACCACTGTTGTATTGTGATTGTAAACTGTCAAATGTGGTACTTGCTCCTTTATGGAAGCTAACGATGGCACAACCGCTGTACCGAAAACCGCTGTGGGTAAGGGGGGAAACTAGACATTGAAAATGTTAGGTCGTGACTCTTGCTGGAAGTCACGGCAGTCTTTGAAAGAGCAAAATGATGGCTTAATTAAACCACCTTCCCCTCTCTAATGGGGCTGGAACAGATCCCACTCCTGCTTCCCCAGGGAGCTGTAACGACACCATTTTCATCATTGGAGACTGCCCGTATTGTCTAGAAAAAAAGGCGGAGGATCAGGACCTGATACTTGCCATGCATTGTCTTAATTTCAACCTAGCGGTGGTGGGAAAACTCTTTTCGAACAAAATTTAAAGATCGAGGCATCCATTAAAGGAGCAATATGAAATAAAAGCATCTTTTCCCCTTCCCCTTTCTTCCCCCCTCCATTTCACTTTAAACTATTTGCAAAGGCACTTTTAGAGTCCTGGATAAATGGATGTGTGTGGAAACGCGAGGCATTACCTGTGCATTTATTCTCTCAACGATAAAAGGAAGCCCTGTAGCTAGAGCAATTGATCTGCAGCACGGCAAGTTTAGGGCGAGCTTTTCTGGGCTCTTAATAGCCAGAAAGGAAAGATGAGGAGAAGTAGTCCCGTAAGCTTGAAATCGGCTCCAGGAATGGAGCCCAGATGGTCCAGCCTCAGAGAGCCGGATCGACAGCTAAAAGGGAGAGAAACGGCTGTCGTTAAAATGCCATTTTTTGTTTCCATCAGCAGCAGTAGTGAAGCCACCTGTTCTTTCGTACGTTGCCGTAGCTAGGATGTATTGAGCATTATCCAGGAGGAAAAATGATCTGCTTTTGCACGTTGCGTGGGCCCTAACGATTCCTCCTTCCCCGACAGTTGCACTATAAAGTCCCTTCAGCGACGTCACGTTTGCATCAGCCGCCTGGAGAGGCCTCAGAACTGGGGAGAAAACTCCTGCGAAGTGAGATTTGTGATACTGGTGCTTGCTCCTCCGAAGATGGTGAGTCTTGCTGTCAGTCATGTCAATCAATGCCTTGGAAGATTTCCAATACGGTTGTTTCGTTTTCTTTTTTGTCTGGCGTCCTGTTAGGTTACACGACGACAACCCGTCGTCTAGACGTAACGAGACACAGCGGGAAGTGAACGGGACAGATGACCACCACGGGTCTACTTCTGACTAAGGCATTGAGTTATGACAAATGGGTTTTCTCTCTCCTTATCCTCCCCCACCCCCAGGCTCTTCCAGCCTCATTAGAGAAAGGAATGACCTCCATTCTAGCACTGGAAGGGGGAGATCTGCAGAAAAGCTGCCCTTAATTTTGACCCTTGTGATATCAGTCAGGGCTGAGGATGCCTCTATCCTTCTCATCCTGACACCCTGATTGGCAGCTATGCCAGCAAAAGCCCCCCTTGTGTAGGCACAGTTATTCTGGCACATCTTTGATGGTTTAGGACGGCATTTCTCATGACTCCAGTGGGTCGCAAGAATGTATGAAAGGATCACGGACAAACTTTAAAAATGGATTGTCCTTTAAAGCTGGAAGAGTTGCAGCCTGCAAGGGGCTTGTTAGGGCTCTCCCGTGCCCCAACACACAGGGAGACTGGAGCCCGGGGGTGGGGGGCAGTGGGTCAGGACTGGCCATCGATGTTTGCAAATGGGTCCTGGTACAAAAAAAAAGGTTGAGAACCACCGGTGAAAGGTATTCTGGCAAAAGGGTTTTGTCTGTAAAAGCTATATCTTCACTAAGAGGTACGTTCACCCTGGAATTGAGGGCATCGTTGCATCATCTGTAGATATACTGCAACCAAGCCTCAGTCTAGCTTGGGTACCATCATGGCTAGCAGCATGACTTGGCTAGCAGCATCTCTTTATTAGTATCTGAACCACCGAGGTTAAATGCGGCTTGGGCATGTCTTCACATGCTGCACCTATACCTCCATTCGCAGTGTAGATGAAGCCAGTGGCTGACCTAGTGTATGGACAGACTATTTTTTTATACCACTACAAAGCGTAGGGAGACGGGACTCTGGTAAGCTTGCATCCACTGATCTCCCGTTACTATTTTTGTCCGCAGATTTCCCACAGAAAACGAAAGCTAAACCAGAGTTATTTATTTCTGAATGAAAAATGCAGTGTTTTGTGGCTTTGTTTTTTTTCACTGACCACAAGGATCTCCCCCCCCCCCCCCCAACGTCTCTAATAGATAGACTTGTTTTCTCTGTCTCTATATGGCGTCATAATTCAGCGCACTATCATGACTTTCAATCTCCTGCAGAGCTGAGATTTGGTCCTGCTTTCTGGACCAAATTTTTCCAGACTGATTGAGCAGTTTGTACTTTCCAATGCAAACATTAAAAAAAATAAAAAAAATTGGATCTCTTTCTACTCAGCAAAATCTACAGGCTGAAAACAGCTTTTTCACATGAAAAGCCAGCAACAAACTGCACTAATTCATTGTGGTATCTTTTTTTTAACATCATAAACTTATTACTTGTTCAGAGCCAGCAAAATGCTGAGCTTTTGGCAGTAGGTAGGAGGAAGACACTGGAGCTAAGAAAGCTGAGTGGTGATGGCCAGGGTCCAACTAAAGGGAAACAAGTGGAGCCTCTGAAACGGTAGCAGTGAGATGGATTGAAGAAAAGTCGCGGTTGTCTTGATTGACTGATTCTTTGCACTGGCCTTGCTACCAAGCCCAAACTTATACACATGATTCAGTAATTAGAATAACGAGCTCGTTGGCACTCTCAACCCAAATGTCTTGGAAATGTCACCTCTCCTGGCTTAAAAGCCACTCCCCAACCTTTCACTCTCACTTTCATCTTTTCCTCATATCCCCACATCTATTTTCTTTTTAGAAAGGGTTGAGGCCCATCTTGCTGGGGGTCATTTTGAGGCTCATCTTGGGGTCATCTGATCCCAGCAGACTTTCCTGCCCAAGTGCAGGGGGACTGGACCCGATGATGTGAAAGGTCCCTTCCAGCCCCTACCAACTACAAACTTATATTTGTCCACTAATGTAGTCTCCATCCACGCAGGAAAAACTTAGGGATGGGAGGTCTTATAGGTGCAGAGAAGGTGGGTGTAATTGCATTTGCTACAGAAGCTGCTAGAAATACTCTAGGAGCCCCTCAGGCTAGGTGCGGTGCAGGTAGGAGGTAAGAGTCCTCTTGCCAGGAAGCTGGCAAATGGGTCTTCCTTCATCGGTTTACACCAGAATGTAGCATATTTGCAAGCTAATAGAGCGAACCAGCTTCATAAGGGAGGGCACTCCACCAAGGACATGCCACAAACACCTGGGGCTGGGAGTTGACTCCAAGGGGTGGTGGAAAGAACATGCTGGGAAACCTCAGCTACAGCAGGAGATGTATAGGGCCTTTCTGATCATTGGGGCCTTATACTTTATGTTAAAATGGAGGCCATGTGTGCGTGACTCATCTCTGCCTGCAAGTTGGGCCTTGGAATGGAGTTGTTTTTTTGGGGGGCAAGGCTAATTAAGAAATCACTCTCTTACGGAAATAATTCTAAAAATACCACGACTGGAAACTATCTCAGTGCAGGAAGGGTGCATTTGCATTGTAGTTGAAGGATGCCTTTGCTCTGAGGCTTAAGACATCTTGCAGAATAGGGGAGCAACATTTTTTTTTGGACTAGAGTCGTACCAGGGAATGTGACTGGTAAGTGCAGATAAATTTTATGGATTCAAGTTTTGAATCCCATCTTTGGGAGGGGGAGGGAGGGTGTCAAGATCTCCAGGATCAATGCCCAATTCTTAAAGGGCTTTTGAAATTCTGCTTGGGCAGGTATCTTCACAGCTGAGAAAAGGATAGGAATGTCTGGCTGGAAGAGACCTCCATGAGGTCTTCTAGTGCAGTCCCCTGCTCAAGGCAGGATCATCCCTAACCAAACCATCCCAGCCAAGTGTCTGTCCAATCTGCTCTAGAAAATCTCTTATGGGGAGGAAGGGGTGGAAATTCCCCGGCTTCTTTAGGCAGCCTAAATTTCCCCTGCTGCAGCTCGGGACCATTGCTCCTAGTTAGTCCCCTGTGGCCACAGAGAAAAGCCCACTTCCATCCTCTCTGTAATTGCCTTTCAGGTATTTGAAGACTGTTAGGAAATCCCCCTTCAGCCTTCCTTTTTCTGGACTATAACCCTAGTTTTTACAGCCTTTCCCTGCAAGTCCATGCTTCCCAGGCCTCTAACCATTTCCATTGCGCTCTGCTGGCTTCTTTCCAATCTGTCCACATCCTTGAAGTATGTGGCCCAAAGGTGGGCACAGGAGTCCAGGTGAGGTCTCGCCAGATGCGGGCTCCTCTGCAGCTCCTGATGTGCATGTACCGTTGCTACCCTGTGCAGATATGGAGCAGATCTGCCGTTTCCTTTGCACTGTGCTCTGGACGTTCGTTCTTGGAGTACTGGCCTCTACCTGATTAAAGGCCTCTTTCTTGCTGTACCAAAGCCGAACACTCGAAGAACATATCAGTAGCTCATGGGCATGTTAAAATAATCTGTTGAAGAAGCTGCCCCTTTCTTTCCTATCTTAATCCTTTTTTGCTTTAATCTTTTTCTAGCAAGTACCTTGGAAGGAAATGGGAATTGCTGCTTTTTAAGAGTTTTAGCTTCTCCTTGCTTTCTCCAGTCTCCCACGTACCCCTAGCCACTTCCCCCTTGCATGCGTGACACCCGTCACCTCGTGGATCCCCACTCTGTTGTGACAAACAGGATTTTAAGTTTGGCGATGAATAAGTGCAAGGAGCTGGGGAGCTTCTGAACACCGCCAGTCTGGCTTCTGTCAAATGTCTGTGGAATATAAATTCAGATGTGACCTTAACAAAATGTTTTCTGCGAGAATTGGCCACAGTCTCTTTCTGCCTGTATTTGCAATAAGATAAGGGCATAAACCTTCTCGGGGAAAGGAAACCTTTTAGCTATATCTCACAGTCCTTAACCTTCTGGATGTCATTAGCCGCTAAAGCCAGACTTCGCTTTGAAAATGTTGCACGGTAGAAGGATGCCTGTCAAATAGCTCCACCTCCATTAATGTTGCAACGGTCTTGGGCCAGGTCCTTCAAAAATGATTCTTCGACTTGAACGGCATTTGGCTCAGGCCCCAGTTGCACACATTACAACATGGTGGTTGAGATTTCAATGTATGTAGATGGTGCTGCCTTCTGCACTTCCCTGTGAGATCTCCCAAACACCTGAAGTCCGGTCAAGAGTCTTAAAATGTTAATTTGGAGGCTTGCACTGCCTCTGGTTGCAGAGGAAACGTGAAAACCTGTGTTCTGGTCTTAGTTGGAAGAGGAACAACTTGAACTTTTTCTGTTAGGTTTTTCAGAGCGTGAATGCATTTAGGATGAATAATCAACGCAATATTTTTTTTTTTTTTTTTTTTTTTTCCCCTCCCCTCCTTCCAGAAAAGTACAAAAACTGCCACGGAAGTGGGTAGGACGTTTGCCACCATGTTTTCAGATATAACTTTCCGGCAGAAGCTTCTGGAAACAAAAACAGAAGAAGAGTTTAAAGAAGCTTTAGTCCATCAACGCCACCTCTTGACTGTGGTGAACCAGAGACCCTCGGCAGTGAACGACGGGCACAAAACGCACAGCCACAAGCCGCTCAAGGTAGGGTGGGGACAGGTCTGGTCCGTCTACCGGTTGTTTCTGTATAAAGGACTCTCTGGGATAGTTGTTTTCTTCGCCCTGCACTAGCCCTGCTTATTCATGCCAGTGATTTACGCTTCCGCATCCTCAAACCGGGTGGTTTGTATCATTTTCTAGTCTAGCTAAACCGTTTTTGTTGTTGGAAGTAAATAAATCTCCTTTGCAGCACTGCAAATGGGTTTGAAAACTTTAGAGCGTGTCCAGCCTGTCCCGTGTGAGCCTGGGGACACGATTGAGCAACGAGCTGCGATGAATCGTTCCTGCTTCACGCAACCCCGGACCCATAAATAAAGCATAGAAGACAACTCGAGAGCAGGTCCGAGTGCGGGCCCGTAGTCCTGTGCTTGGGGTCCCCCAAGCTGGACCATCTGGGCACGGTGCTAGGATGCTCGTACTTGGAGCTGCTCCGAGCTGTCTGCTCCGCCTAATGTGTGAGCCCGAGCGGCAATAAATGGATGCGACTTTTCTCACATGCAGGCGTGTTGAGAAAGCAGGGTAGATGCATCCCAAGAGGCTTTTTATGAAATATGAAAGGGGACAGAGTAAAAGCTCATAAGAATCACTGTGTGTTTATACCTTTTTAAATTTTCATTCAGGATGAAGTTGTAATGAAGCAACCCCCTTTACATGGTAGGGTTGCAAAGGGGTAAGGGACGGTAGGACGGACTGAAATCGTTTAGTTCGGGATGCTAAGCAAGGCTAAGGATTGATGGAGACTCATCTACTCTACCTGCTGCCCAAAGGCAGGATAAACTATACTTAAACTGCCCCCAACAGATGTTAGTCTCCCTGCTGTTCAGCATCCTCCTGTGATGGAGATCCTACAACTTCCACCCCCAGGTAATCGGATCCGAGGGCTGCAGTTCGAAAGCTTTTCACAACGCCCATCCAGTATCTCTGTTGGTTTTAAATTGCACCATTAGCACTTGTCCTGTCCCCAGTGGATGCAGAGAACAGCATAAACCTTCCTCTTGGCAGCAGCGCTTTTCTCTTTTATCCATCCTTAACCCTCCACTGCCTATATCCCTGAAACCATTCCTGCAGACACCAGTGCAATGTTACACTAGTGGCTGTGGTTCCCTCCTTGGAAAATATTTATGATACCTGTACTTGAGAATTTTTCAAGCTTTCTAATGGGTTTTTCGAGATGGGCAGACGTACCTTCTAGGGTTGGAAGGGACCTGAACAGATCATCAAGTCCAACCCCCTGCCCTGGGCAGGAACGAGTGCTGGGATCATAATACCCCACCCAGATATCTATCCAACCTCCTCCTGAAGACCCCCTAAGTATGGGAGAGCACCACCTCCCTTGGGAGCCCGTTCCAGAGCCCGGCAGCCCTAACCGTAAGCAGGCCTGTCCCTCCAGAAACCACATTGGTGATGAGGAACAGGGTGGTCCAACATGTTCCCATTTTAAATATAGCCACACTTCAACGTACAGCTGAAATCCATTTGATTTTTGTCCTATGCCTCCTAACAGGTGCTGGCTTCATAGTACTAACTGTGGAGTGTCCTTGTGCTTTCATAGACTCTGACCCCTTTAGGAGCTAGGCCATGTCTACATCCGAAAGGTCTTTGCTGGTAGAGCTCTACTGAGATGCACAAAGTCTTGGGCCAGGTACAGAGGTTCGAAAAGCCCGAGGTGGATTCATGTCAACTTCCACAGCTTTTTCTAAGCACCTTTAGATTAGATTAATTTGGGAGCAAAGAGACCTTGCATTCACCCTTCGGGGGAGGAAGGGGTACGAAGGCGGCTGGCCAGGGGCCGCTCGCCCCCCCCGCCCCCCCCCCCCCCAACACCTGGCTATGCACCCCCCAGCTGTTCTGGAGAGGGCCAGGCCTTCCCCACCCCTGCCCTGCCTGGCTGACTGGTGCAAGCAGGATGCAGGACTGGGGAGCAGAGGCTTTACTACTCAGCTTTGTGACAGCCGGGGGGGGGCGGCCCTGGGCTCGCTTGGCTGGATCAGATCAGCGCTGGTAGAGGCTAGCCTGCCTGCCTGGAGGGGTGGGGGGTGCAGTTAGTGGGGGTCTGCAAAGGAACCTGGGATGCTGGAGGACAGTGACCCAAGTTGAGTCGGGAGGGATTCGGTACAGAAGTTCGATAGACAGGTCTAAGTTAAACTGATTTAAATCTGCCACTACATCCATCGAGGATTTTTTTCAGACTGGGTTCTGCCCTGTTTAAACCAGTCTATGTGCACTGAACTTCTGTTTTGTTATAGGCTTAGACTGGTTTCCAATCATTTATACTGGTTTATGTGTAATGTCTTTTCCTAGCCTAGTGGGGATACTGGTGCAGCTTAACTAGATCCCTGAACAAGCATGCCAGCAGTAGGACTTTTATTCCAGGGTAATTTATACTGATGCTGCGCTTCTACCTAGTGTAGCCTGGAGGGTCATTTCTTTGCTCATTCCACACAGAGCTCTTCTCACAGCACTTTTTAAATGGGGATTAAGCCTTTATCTTTCTTCTGGGGTTTTCCCTTTGCCCGAAGAAGGAGAATAGCATGGTGTCGGACAGTAAAGGGTGAATAGCGCATCAAAACTGGGCAGTGTAGTTATTTTCATAAGGACATCTGCGGTGCCTCTAACTTTTTAGTCTGTGCAACAGCTTTTAAAAAAAAAAAAACCTACAAAAACCAGGGAAATACAATATCATCACCTGGGAGCAAACAAATGTCTAAGCGGACTGCTTCTGAACCACCCTGAATGTAATCAAATGCCACCATGTACTGAAAACAGCTATGGTTTTAACCGTAAGTGAGCTGCTTGGTGTGGGATGGGAATGATGATTGTAGGCGGCATACAAATTGGTCCTTTGCTGCCTTCCCCCCGGACCTCTCCTGCAGCAGCTGCAGGGAGTAGGTACTTCATTTTGCATAAATGAAAGAGTTGATCTTTCCCAAGTCCCCCATCCTACCTCTGCTAACACATTACAAGGATTTGCAGTGTTGCAGAGTTATTAGCTCCACACTGTCTACAGGACCGCGGTGCTCCTCTTTCTCTCCAGGGCCTGTTTAGGAAACATGACACACTTTCAGCCCTTGCTGGATACTGTCTTAATTACATCCCCTTGAAATCCCTGCTCTTTACTGAGCACTGAAATATTTAATCATGACCTTATTAGAGCAAGGGTGGTCACAGCATCTATAAAGTATTGTAAAAGTCTATTTGTGTGTCATTAATATTGAGGGGGCTCCTGAAGACCCCAACCACGTTGGACCCTACTGTGTTAGGCAGCACATAAGCAGGAAGCAAATAGTTCTCCTGGCTTACAGCCTGGATGACCATGTGTAATAGATAGGCAGGTGTGAGCAAGGAAGAAACCGGGGGAATAAACGGTGGTGATTTGGCACAGGCTGGTTATACATGCAATGCTGCAGCCCTCCCATGCACCGAATGGTTGGCGTTTTCTGCAAGCAGCATGGCACAGGTGAGGTTTTAGAGAAGGAGATTGAAGAAGGGTCAGACAGTGGGTTTATGAAGATTGCTAGGAAGGTGTAGGTGTGCGCGTGTGTTGTCCCCAGCCACCTCTATCCAGATGGCAGGGGTGGGAAGGTGCCAGAAGACTTGAGAGAAGTGGAAAATGGGGAGACCGGATCCGACTTCAGCATCAGAGGGAAGGTGGTGTCGCACCGTGAGGACGTAGCAGGGGCAGGTAGGGCAGGGTTGGGTATGTTAAAAGGTTCTCCAGAGTAGAAGAAGGCCGATCACTTGCGATGGAGGAGAGAGGCTGCTGTTGGGACGTGTTGGTGGAATTGGATGCGAGACCCGCCGATGGTCTTGGATGGGCCGGAGGCAGTGGTGGGGGTTTCAGGCATGAAGGAGCGGAGGTGGACGTGACAACAGCTGATACCAGAGACGATCTGAGTTTCCATAAGCACATTCACAGAGAAAGCTTGGGATGGTGGAGCTGCTGCACAGGAAGAAACTTCTCGCATTCAAGCCGTGTCTACGGGCAAAAGACGGAGATGCAAATTGCACACGGCGCTGGGATTTTTTGGGGTGCTGGGGTTGATGGGGATCACGTCTATTATAACAGAAGAGGGGAGAAAGGAGAGCAGGGCTACGTACTCGGTGCACCTGCTCACTTAGTCCCATTTTCCCTTACTTCAGCATTCACACTCTTCCGTGCGTTGTTCTCTTCCTTTCCCGCAGCCCTCGCCTCCCCGCAGAGCAACGCCGTCCACGTGGCTCAGCACAGCACAGTGTTGCCAAACAAGCACATGGTTGTTCTCATTATCTTTCTCCCCAAAGGCCAGGCGCGGTGTCCCCATGCTTCCCACGGCAAGACAAGTAAACACACACCGCTCATTAAAGCTATCATGAGTCTGTCTGGCTCGTGCCTCTGGGAAATTCGCCCTTCTAAAAATACTAACAGTCTCAATTACAAATGGCTTCAGCTCTCCACTGTTCCCCTAATTTAAACTCCTGTGTCTCCATGTTTTATCGTTGCTGTCTAGCCACTGTGCAATTCAAAATGTTTAGCGCAGGTGATCAAGAGGGAGAAGGGCGCGCCTTTGAAGGAAGGCTCAGCGGGCCCACGGACAAAGCAATAATGCAAACGGGCCAGCGGTATAGCAAGAGAAACACCTTTAACTACTTGGCCAATGGCGCGTGTCTCTTGCTATAATAATAAAAGTGATAGAATAAATGCCCAGAAATGGATTTGTGTGTGCAGAAGATTTCAACATTGACCGACTAAAATAGCTTTGATTTAGTTAATTTTGCCAATCAAGGGAACAGGACAAGCGGCAGCAGATTGCTAGGTTGGAGATTAGGAGGAACTTTCTGGCTCTGAGGGTGGTCGGGCCTTGGCACAGGCACGTAGAGAGAATGTAGGATCTCCATCCCTGCAAAGCGTCAAGAGCAGGTTGGAGTGGTTTAGTCCGGGATGATCTTGCCGGGGGGCTGGACTGGATGACCTGGTGAGGTCCTTTCCAGCCCTACTTTCCTTGGATCATATAGCTTGTGGTAAGAAGCATATCTTCAATATTTAGTCCTGCAACAAGCCCACCAGGCCTTCATGTATGGGTGTTTATACACGTGCTCCAGAAGCAGCCGGGGGGTGCTGTAATTAAAGCATTGGGGGCGTCTTGTGTATCGGCATCCCCACACTTAAATAGCGGCAGGGGTGTTTTAACTGAAGCTCGTCAAATGAGTTCAAGTGCCTGTCATTTTTGAGCGCGGGGATGCTGTTGCGCGAGATGCCGCAGCCTGCTGAAGCACGGTAACTGCCAGACTTGATTAATCAAGTCTGCTCATGTATAGATGCCCCAAGAGCCTTGCAGCTTTGTGTTGTGAAGGAGTTACAAGTGGTGTTAAGCATTTTACATCTGCATTCTTGCATGCAGTTTATTCTTTCCGTCAACAAGGATACCAAAGAAAATGAAGCACTCTTAATTGTTGGGAGAATTAAATTTTCGGAAGGAACTTAAGTTTCCCATTTCACGGTTCAAGGAGCCAAATCCATTATGTTGTGCTGCGCTTTTGGAAGGATGTAGAACTAGGGAGGCTTTGATAAAAAGCAGCAGAGACTATTACACTGTTGGCAGTTGCTTACTGTGGCAGCTTTGCTAACTATTGCAGTTTTATTGTGAATCTTGCAATTTTGAGCATGCTTCCTGAAGCCCCGGAAGCTGGAATGGGGGCATCTGAAGAGAATATCAGCTTTTGTTCTTTTTTTTTTTTTTTTTTTTTAAGATATGAAGTGCCAATTTAGATGTGGCATTAGGTGGCTTTTAATCATCTCAGGAAGCAAACATGATCCTATTCCACTCTACACAGCAGACTCAAAGGCGCTCGGTTGTCTAGATTTCTTACGCATCTCGTTTTGGCCTAGGAAGATCCCGTGGCTCAGAAGCCATCCCAAATGGTTTCCTACACATCTGTCTATAATCTGAGCTCTGCCATGATCTCCTTCTGTCTGGGAAGCGCATCAATTCTGCAGGAGCCCCCAGTCCCTTAAATGGAGGGGCAAAAAAAATCATTTAGCAAGCGTGGCATTGAAAATGGGTGCAGGGGGTGGAGGGCCTCCTCTTGCCCTATAGCCCCGGGCATTTGCACACGCTATGGGGAGACCTCGGCTGCAGGCCACCTTCAGCAGTCAATGGTATTGGGACAGGGTCCAAAATCGAGGGGTTCTCCTTCTCCGGAGAGTTTCCTCCTCACTGGGCTCCAACTTGCATTCACTGCTGGACCCAGCGACTTGCATTCCTCTCTCTCCAGGCGCCCACATGAAGGGTGCCATCAGCTCTGCCTCCCCTATTGCCTGTTGGTTAAGTTGCTTCCTCAGAAAGCAGGAGCTGCAGGTTCAGAGGAGGACTTTGTAGGCATCGAGGCTTTGGGGAGGAGTTTTTGGGTGGAAACGGCTGCCTCTGGTTGAAAAGGACCTAAAACCCAGGTCTCGAGACTTTCTAGGCAAATGCTCTCACTGCTAGGCTTCTCTTCCCCACTTCTCCTTTCCAAGTCGGTGCCGTGAGCGGTCAGTTAGCTCTACTACTTCAGGTAGACTTTTTTTTTTTCTTTGGATTGAGCTGGGTCCTATCATGACAGAAGCTCTGAGAACGGGAAACTTCCCTTCTCCGGCGCATCAGCCTCTGGCATCGCCTTCGGCTCCCTGTTGCTAGAAGATGGGAGAGCTGCGCGACTTCTCGGGGGTGAAGAGGATCCGTCCTTGGTGGTCAGCTGGGCTGCTCATTGAGAGAAAGGGAGAGCTATGGAATAGAAACACAGTCCTAAGGCAAGATGCATGCTTTTTGGGCCAGTAAAAGCCAAGACCTAGGCTGTCTTAGGGACAGAAGTGGAACCGTGCCTTCATTTCTACCCCCAACCATTGCAGCTGAAATTTTAGGGTGTATGGTTTTTCACATTTTCAAAAACTCACAAACTAAAAGCAAATAGTCCAAACGTATAAAAGAAGACGACTTCATTTTTGAGCCAGTCGAGTGATTTGGGAGGGCTCAACTCCTCAAGCTGTAACGTTTTAGGGTTGCAGGTACTGCCATAGCCGGGCACTTTTAGGGAGCGTTTACTCTGCTGTGAATTTTTGCTTCCAGACCTGCGACAATTTAATGCTGCCATCTTTGCCTCCAAATTTCTGGACCTGTGGGGAACCCCACAAGCCGGATGACACAGCCCCCCGTGCCAGATCGTGCCAGCGCGCAAAAATGGGCCGCAGCTGGAGCCAGTGCGTGGGGCCAAGCCTGTGCATGCGTCTGCTCCATGGCCGGATCTGACATTTGGGGTCAGACCCATGCACCAGGTTGCACGTACTGATTGACTCCGTGTGCTGATCCTGCACTTGATCCAGCCCACAGACTGATCTTGCTCACTTGTGGCATGGGGCTGGCATCTGAGCACCCCTGTTTTAGACCATTCGGCGCCAGCCTCATCAACTCACTTTGTGATGAATAAGTACAACCTCATTATGCATGCATATTCCAGCTTAATTGGTGTAAACTTCTCGTGCATCAGTCCTGATTTTACTGAGAAAAACCCTTCCTTGATCAATATATGCACTGATCGGTGCCCCAGCAAAGCCTACATACCTGATGGGTTCAGATGCCATTTCTGGAGTGTGAATGGTTATCTGCAGACATAGTTTTGACTATCATGGCATATGGATTTCAAGGTAGTTGTTTTGGGGGGTCGGGAGAGACTTTGCTTTTAAGTTTCTGTTCTCAGGGCTCGGAGCGATCTGGACTGGTAAACCAGAAGTTTCTGAGGTCTAATCGTGGCTTAGCCATTACTTTGCTGGCTTTGGTAAGTCAAGCCCCTGCCTTGTTATCAGTTTGCTCTTCTGCGTAGCAGGTACCACAATGCCTGCATTAATGCACATAGAGGTTTGGCTTTTTACATTACTTCTGAGAGTATGTATTATTACCCATGTGTTAGGCATCTCGTTCTGTAAGATGTGATCCACACGCAGCATTCAAGCTGATTTAATTTTTTTTTTTCTGCCTACCAGCGCTGGAATAAGGTTAATCTTTTTAACAATGCCTGAGCCTTTTAAACTGACATAACATTTCCTTCCTCTCTTTAGTTGCATGACTTTTTCAATGTTGGCAAGGGGATTTTTGATGACATTGCACGAAGATTTCCAGTGTACGCTCTGGACTTCACTGACGGTAGGTTGCTCATGTTTATGGAAGACTCTCCCTGACTTTCCTTAATTCCTGTGATACAGTGTCCTGTTGACCATGTGGATTGATATGTTCTTTTGATATCTGCCCCTTTTTTTTTTTTTCATTTAAAAAGAGAATCCCGATAAAACCTATGAATAGCTTCTGAGCCGGCACGGCACACTTGTGAATAGGTGAAGTTTGCAACGTGCTCTTAATGGAAATTTCGGTTTTGCCAAAGCCAGGTCTTTAATTACAGTGATTTTAAGCTCCTTGATTATTAGCATGCACAAGGAAGACATCAGAACAGATCAGAAACAAATTAGTTTTCATCAGCACGGTACGCTCCACTTCTGCTGTCGTCTTTGTTGTGCGGCAGCCGTCGATAGCTATTGTGGAAATGGTGTGGGAATTGTGCGCCGTCACAAATGGGAATTGCAGGAACTTCAGTGGAGTCTGGTTATAATCTCCAAGTGCTGTTGCTAATTTACCAAAGCAGCATGGAGAATCATAGGGCATGAGAATCAACCCAGACGCAATACTAGGGCTTAAATATCTAGTCTTATGCACCTGTTAGAGGTGTCCATCCGTTTTGGAGCAAGCACCATTTTCCAGTGCAACCTTTCATTTTCAAGGAGCTCTGGACACTGCTGAAAAAAAACACCACAAAAACCCTCATCTTTATGGAGAAAAGTTGCATGCAAAACCTCAGCCCAGCATCAGTTTGGTTTTGAATTATAGCTGGCTTTTGAGGTTTGAAGTAAATGGAGCTTTAATTAGCATAAAGCTATTTTGGGATTCATTGATCTTAAATGGTTGCATGAACTACAAAAAATATTGCAAGCGACCGTGCCATGTTAGGATGGAGACCTTCTTAGTCTCTTGTCTCGGGCTACCAGAGAAGCCACTAGGTTGTTTCCGAGATGACCTGGCTTTCTAGCAGCCGAAGTCTCCTAAATGCTTGCCTGGAAATTGCGTTGTTTTTTAAATATATCTTTGTTTGTGACTGCCTACCTTCTGAGCTTTTATTCGTCTGGACTGAGCAAACCTTGGGGAAAGCTTCCTGCTTTACCATCCAAGCTTTACACTGTTCTTGCTCAACTCCGAGCCCTTCTCGGAGTTGATAATTACCATAACTACTCTGCTGTCATTAAGTTTAATTGTTACAGGTAAGAAATAAGTTCTGCTGGAACCACTCCATCAATTAAGAGAGTCTCTGGAGTTGCTAGACCCGTCCGTCCTTTTCTCCATTCATATGTCCCCTTTTTCGCCTCTCCTTCCTCCCATCCTCTAACATGCCCTGTAAAGGGTTGCCACAGGCTCCCTTTTGAGAAATGCTCTGCTAAACAACTGCATCACCAGAAAGCTTCAAGCTACCAAGGAGTCCTCTTGGGAGAATTAAACACTTTGCTTGGAGCAGCACGTTCCTGCTCGCCGGCAGGGAGGAACGGGTCGAGGACCTGGTGCTCCCACTTCCACTGACCTTGTCTGGAAAGATGCAATTGTAGTGCATCATGGTGCAATCCCCTCTTGGCCGCTGAAACTGGGTGTTGTACTTGTCTGTGGAAGGTCGTGTGTGAGAGAGAGAGAAAGAGGGATGTAACTTTGTCAATCTAGTGGCTTTGCTCCTACACATAAGGGATCTGACAAAAGACCTTCTTTGGTTGGTAGAAGTCTGACGTAAGCGCATCTGAAAGGCACCATAAAGTTGCCACACAGCTTCTGGCTTCTGTGAACCCAAATCGTCACCCCAGGTTTCTAGGGGATGAGTTGCAGCATTAGGAGGATGCTGCAAGTTCATCTGATCCACCCCTTCATAGACGCAGGATTTGCTCTTTGCAAACGCTCCAGGACGTCTGTGCAGCCTCTCCGTGAAAATCTCCGGTAAAGGCTATTTCACAACCAGCCGCGTTGTCTTGCTGTTCTTGTGATGTTAAGAAGCTAGTCTTGAGATTTGATCTAAACCTGCTTTGCTGCAGTTTAAACCTATTGACATATGTCCTGCCCTTTGTCAGGGGAAAACGATTTTTTTTTTTAATGTAAAAACCTCTATCCCACCCCCATCTTTTTTTCCAGACTAAGCATACTTACTTCTTTCAGTCCAACCTTAGACAGAGAATTTACTTTCCATCCCTGCTATCATCTGTCACTGGTTTTTCTGCCGTTTCTCTATGTCCTTCTTAAAATACGGTGCCGAAAAGCGGGCATAGTGCTCCAGCTGAAGTTTAACTAGCATCAAGTCAAGTGGCGCCATCTCCAACGTTTTGCGTATGACGCTTCTGTAAGAGCAAGACAATTGCACGCGCTTTTCTTGGGGCAGTATCGTAATGCTGACTTGCATTGAGTTAGTAACCCCGGATCCGTCTCAGCAGTGCCACTGCCCACTCGGTGCAGGTGCAATTGTTCGTTCTTCCACAGGACACAACGGGTTTTATATTGGTCTTTGGACTAAGTTTTGTTATCTAAAGCCCAGTTCTCCAATTGATCGACACAGTTTTGAGTTGTATTCCAGTCATCCAAAATGTTTGCAGCCCTCTATGTTGTGTCGTCTGCAAGCTGGATCAGTTTTGCTCCCCCCACTCTCCCCCCATATTCAAGTCCTCGATGATAATAATAATAATAATAATAATAAAACAGTTGACTTAAGATGATTCCTCCCCTCCCTCCCCAATTTATATTGTGTTTCTCATCTGTTGCACGTGGGTTGGATGGATTTAGATTGTGCAAGTCACTGGGACGCTTGAAATTTATCCTTTAATTGATTTGCTTAGCATAGTCTGCTGGTAACTTTTGTGTTCCAGCAATAAGGCTTTGAGGATTTTGTTCTGTTGGTCCAGCAGCTGCAGTCCTCCCCGCTGGTATTTTTGAATCATTGTCCTTGTGATTTGAAATATCTGGTTACAAGAAATGCCTGCGCGGAGCAACACACCAAGCTGGCTTTACTCATAGGAGCAGCAACCAAATATTACGTGACTTGCATTTCTACTCCCCTTGCACACCTACCACAGCTCCCTCACTTTAGGCCTTGCTACTCCAGTTCTTCACCTCTAAAAGCCAGCCCGTTCACAGGGCCCAGTTTACCAGTAGTCAAGTCGGTCCTGAGGCCACTGGGACCATTGGGGCACCTTAGATGCTGTGAGCACCCTCCTCCACACCTGTGTCTCGACCGATCCGATGTGAGGATAGTTGAGTTGCTTTGCACCGTTGGTGGTTCTTCAGGCAGAGCGACTTGGTGGTGCCCATCTCCTCTCCAGGTATGAATGGCCTTTGGCTCGCACGGAGCTCATCCGCCCTTTGACAGGTCTTGTTTAGTCCTGCTGGGTGTCCACACACCCTCCTCACGAAGGCTAGCCCAGGTGCCGGTGCCAACTTAGCCACTGACAGCCCAACCACGGAGCAGGCTGGATAGCAGCCCAAGAGAGGCCTGTCCTGACACCATTACCAATAGGAAATGCCACGGAAAAAAAAATCTGTAAACTTCTGTTCAGATCCCAGTACAATCCCTTAGATTTGTACCGGGGGGTTTCCTCCAAGATCTGCTGACTTCTTAAATACATGCTATTTCCTTATCTTCACCTTCTTAAATAGCATGTGATCTTTTAAGTCCATTTTTAATACGGACTATCTTGACACTGTTGGCTGGGGGGCTTTTGCGTGGCTGGCCTCTTACTTCTGGAATAGAAAGAACTTGAAAACAATTTAACGATGGTTAATTATACCAAGGTTGTGAGGGGACTGGTGGCAGAAGAGGTCTCTTGCTATGTCTGCGGAGGTGCTAGTTCAAGCCCCAAGGTAACTCAGCTATGAATAAGTTCCTGGTTATTCTGGCTCGAGAATCGAAAGTAGCTAGCGGTGATAGCGGCCAGATGACTCCTTGTGGCCTCAGGACCTGTCATGCCTTGGTCATAGTAGCCCTGTGGGCTGCTAGGCCTTTGACTTGCATGCAGACGTTGAAGCATTGGGCTTTCGTTCCAACTTGTAACACCGTCAGGGATGATCCCTTACCTTCCTTCTGCTCCGGTTCCCTTATTTGAGAGAGTGGTTTAGTCGGGGATGATCTTGCCCCGAGCCAGATGACCTAGCAAGGTCACTTCCAGCCCAACTTTCCTTTGCTCTTATAGCTCGTGATAAGAAGCATAGCATTTGGCTCTTGTTCTGCCTCCCTCGCTCCCATTAAGTAGGATCTTGCCATGCAAGCAGCGTTCTTGAAACTACTAACAGGGTTACTCATAAACCCTGTTCCTGCATAGCATGTGCAGCTGTGCTCAAGCAAATTGCTGGGACTAAACTCCGGAGGTGCAAAATGATGTGTAGAGCTCGAGGAGTTTTGCAGGATCAGGCGCCTAGCTATGCCTGGTAATACTCAAAGCAAATAGGTTACTTAGAAAGAACTTAGAAGATTAAAAGCGCAATGAAATGCTCTTAATGTGATGTATAGGCAGCAAAGCGTCTTTGCAGTCTTCTCTCACGTCACTTAAATTTGCACTTTGTCTGCAGCTCTACTTAGCGGCTTCCTTTGTACACTTATTTAACTGGGCGCCTCTTCCCTTCTTTTGTTCCTTGCCGTCTCGCTTCGACTGCAAAGCTCAGAAGTACCTCAAGCGCCATTTCTCCAAGACGATGCTCAAGTGCTAAATGGCACTGCCGCTTGCTAAGTGCACGCAGGGCATATGTTGTTTGAGAAAAGCGGCCCTTAAAAAATGTGCGCGTGTGTGTGACTGTACAGTCCCACAAATGGCTAGGGTTCTGCAGGAAATAATTAAAAAAAAAAAAAAATGAAAGAAATAAAAGAGTTGAAGCCTTGTAAAGCCCCCCCCCAGAGCAACCCTGCTTTATATTCCCAAGTTGGGTTTCCTGGATCTGAGTACGTTTCCTTTTGTCCAAGAAAGAACTAGTTAAAAAGCACTCTTCAATCTTTTTTTCTTTCTCCTTCCAAACAGGAAGAAATATTTCATTTTTCCCTCTGACCTCTTTGAGAAAGCAAAGAGCGCTTATGCTTGGTTCTTGTCTCTTAATCCTTCCCCAAGTACTATGAATGCTGTTACCTTTTAATTAAGATGTGCCCAAGGGGTGGGTTGGAAAACAAAGCCCGGTCGAGCAATTATGCACGTTTCGGAAAAATTTTTAACATTGGGTTGTAGCACAGAAGTGTGTACATCTTGCTGCTCTTTCACATGCGACCTCCTAGGAGCGATCACCTCTAATGTATTTTGCACAATTGAAACGGTGCGTATCTTGGAGGTTCGAGAGATTTGTTTTTTGTCTGCACGAAGGCAACCGATATCATTTGGCCCTTCTCTTCCTGCCTCTCTTCTTGTCTTGAATATTGCATACAATAGAGAAAGGAGCACATGCTTTTTTAATAGCTATACCCACGCATCTCGCCGAGCGTCTCGAGTGCAATTCAGTAAATGTAAGATTAATGGATTTAAGTGGGTTTGGTGTCTGTCTCTCTCTTAATTATTTTATAAACATGAATATTAAGTTAAATGAAACTGTTGGTATTCTAGCCTGTGTTTTCCTGAAGTCTCTATGCCTTATAAAGCAAGGCTTTTTTAACAGTTTTTTTTTTTTTTTTTTTTTTTTTTTTTTTTAAGTACATGAAATGGAGCTGTCAAAGTGGTGAGCATCGCTGCAGTTTGGAATTTGTCAATGTATCTTGAATTTTTTTTAAGGGACCGTTCCTGTAATAGTCGAGCAGTCAAATTTCACAGCTGGGCTGCAAGCTGATGCGTGCCACAAATGCAGAAGGCACAATCAGAGGGTCGGGCTTTTCACGAGCCGGTAAACGGCTGCAAATGAAGTAGTGTCGTGCTAGATCCCACGTGCCCCCTCCTCCCCCTTTCCCGATGAAGTGGCCTGAGCCAGTTTCTGATCCGCACGTATATGTTTCTCAATCTTTACCCATGCATAGATGTTGACTTAAAAGGAAAATGTAAATGATGAACAACATTTCAAGCGTGAAATGCTAATTCTTCTGGGCACGCTTTGATGTACAGGAAGTAGCAGCTCGCTAACCCTTCAAAACGATGTTGACTCACGAAGCACCGCTCGCTTCACCCGGGTTAGCCTCTGTTTGCGCAGGTGACTTTGGCAGGTGCTGACAAGCGTCTGCGCACGTCGGGTCTTACACGTGCGAAGCTGGGACCACAGAATTTCTTGGCAGCCAACACGAGACAAGCAGCGTCTTGAGGTTTTGTCGGCAGTGTTTTTTGCAAGGTTGATCTTGTTTCTGCACGGACCCCTGTGGCGGGAAGCTCTTGGAAAATCATGTGCTCTGGGGGCTGCATACTATTGTTTCTGTATCCCACAGGGAGTCTCGCTTGCAAATCTTTCCCTTCCTACCTGTCATTGCTTTCATAGGTTGTCATAGACATCAGGGCTGGAAGGGACCTCACACGATCATCCTTGTGAGATCACCTCTGTTCCACTACGCTGGAAAAATGCAGCTTAATGACCTTCCAGGGCGTCTTCGTGAAGCTTACCATTTATGAGAACATGGTTTTTACAAGATGCATTAAACGTCTTTGACCCTGGGCCTTAATCATCTCTGTGGTCCTGGTCTTGAGCATGTGTGGAGGCTTTCAAGCGTTGTCTTTGGCCATCCTCTTGAAAGTTTTCCTCGATGCATGCATATGAGTCCAGAGCAATGCACTGTGAGGCGCCATGGTTTTAGGACAAGGACTTTGCTTGCTCTACCAGCAAAGTCACCATCTTATCTTGCCTATTTTCAGTGTTGCTGTCCACTCACGACTTCCTCATAGACTCGTAGATGTTCGGGGCTGGAAGGGACCTTGCAAGATCATCGGGTCCAGCCCCCTGCGCTTGGACAGGAAAGACCGCTGGGGTCAGATGACCCCATAGCTCCTCGTTCTCTTTGGTGCACTCTGGACGTGGGTGGGGAGGACGGGGCATCGTCCCCTGGTTTCTTTGTGCTGCTGCTTTTCCAAATGACTGCGTTCTCCTCTTCCGGTGCTGGACATCACAGCTTTTGGCTTCCACCTGGGCCAGGAGGTTTGAACCTACTGGGTAGCATCTCTCCCAGAGAAGGGGAAGAGCAGCAATGTAGGGGGCTCTTACAGTGACATTTTTTTTTATTCCCATTTCGGTCACCCAGGCCCCCGACCCTCATTGGGAACAATGATCAAGGCGGGGGCCCGCCCCTCATTGGGAAAAAAGAGAAAGGGGGGGGGGGGGGGGATGAGTCGTTGGGAAACCGGTGAAACTGTAACCTCAAGGTAAAAATTCTTTGCTTCATGCCATTTCTAAAACTGCTATCCTCTAATGAGCTCAGTTTCTCTCCTTTTTGCATTATTGTTTCAAGCGTATAACCACAAAAGTCTCTATCCAGGAAAATAAAGTACCTTTAAGCATGTCAGAAGCCACAGAGACTGTTAGCTTACCATACTGAAGGTAACTCTGTGACTACAGATGCATCATAAAATGTTCATCAGCTTGATCTTTTTTTAAGTTTTTTTTTTTTTAAGTTTTAAGAACCCTAAAATAGAGGCGTTGCTTTGGTCCTCATCCAAGCCATTCAAAGCTCTGGCCCTGCAAAATGGAACAAAAGATGCATTCAGGGCTTCCTGTGTCTGCCAAAAGCCAGAGTGTTTGCTAAAACAGGCTTGTCTGATGGCATTTTGGCACTTCTCCATCTGGTCCCAGTTGGAGCAAGGAAGCACAGAGGTGCACTATAGCAGATCTTAAGTAAAAGTTGTCTGTCTGTCTGTCTGTCTGTCTGTCTGTCTGTCTGTCTGTCTGTCTGTCTGTCTGTCTGTCTGTCTGTCTGTCTGTCTGCACGCGCACTTTTTTTTAAAACCTCCGAAAAGCATCTTTGCATGAAGATTGGGTCGGTTCTTCTATTAACCCAATGCAAAACCGAAGCCATATCCTCGGTCACCAGGGAGTCTGCGAATAACTTCTGAAAGAAAAAAATATGGCAAATGCAGACTGATCTATGAACCAGAAAATGCGCCTGCCTCGAGGACCGTTCCTGGTTGAAACTTCGGGACGGTCGCCGTGTCCGCCTGCGCGTGATTCGAGCGGCGGTGCTGTCGCTTGCCTCGGTGCTTCGTAGCATCAGGAATGGTTTATTTTTCGAGGTGCTCGCCACCTTTCCGCTGCCGCGTTCGGCATGTAAATAGTCGCAAGCAGCCGACGGTAGGGTTGGCCGTCATTTGAGCATTATTTGACTTGTCAAATTCCAAGTTGTAAAGCTGTCATTCATGTTTTTTGTTTCATCAGGTATCATTGGTAACAACAAGGCCATAGGGAAGTACATCACGACAATGATCTTTCTGTATTTTGCCTGCCTCCTACCATCTATTGCCTTTGGCTCCCTGAATGATGAGAACACAGGAGGAGCTATTGGTGAGTTTGTCAGCTGTTGTTTTTTTGGTTGTGTGTGTTTTTTTTAAAAATCAGCTTAAATTCCCCATCTGCATGAGTCAGAGTTTGCTTTGTGTCTGCTCGGTTTGGGAGAATAACAAAATAAGCAGCGTCCTGAGTTGTTTTGCGAGTTCTTGCCAGTGAAAGAGTTGGCAATATGGACCTTATTAGTAATAACGCGGACAGCTTGTTTTTCCCCGATCTCTCTCTGTGAGCAAAATGGGCTGGCTGCAAACCTACACAGCCTGTTGTAACAGCGTTGGGGGCAAAGAGCTGTCCGCAGGCACGTGCCTTCTTTGTAAGCCGTGCTATAGGAGCAGACAGGAGCGTGCCCCCGTTTTGCACCGTGCCTTAGCAGAAAGCCCTGCTCCTGATTTGAGGCTTCTGCTTGCTGCCGCGATACAAATAACACGCCTGGTAATAGGTGCTCGGTTTACCAGCATCAATGACTTGCAAGTCATGTGCGCCTAGCAGTCGTTCAGTCGGCAGGGCATTCTCCAACTTCTGAGTTTTTAAAAAAAACCAAAAATGCGCTCTCTTTTTAGATGTGCAGAAGACGATCGTGGGGCAGTGCATCGGAGGACTGCTCTACGCTCTGTTCTCGGGGCAGCCTCTAGTTGTGCTCTTAACCACGGCTCCTCTAGCGTTGTACATTAACGGTGAGTTTTCCCGGGCAGGGTGTGGATGGAGGGGGGCCATGCCCTATAGAGTCCAATACGGTGACAGCTTTGAGAGCTTCAAAATAGAAATTGTGGGGCTACAGCTAAACAAGGCTGAATTTTACAGACTTGTTTTCCATGCTTGCACAGAGAATAAGAAAGCTTTGCCCATATAACTTACTCGTGACGGCCGACCACCGCTAGCCTCCTTGCTGATGCACATCCATTCTCATCTGTCACGAGCTAGCTCCTCCTGATCCTCTTCAGCATTAAGTACCTTCGAGTCCCGTCTTATGTTGTCCATCAAACGTTGTCGAGACCTACCTCAAGGCTGTTGTTGTCTTATCGGTTCCCAATTATGCTTAATTTTTCAAGGGTCCGTCCGTCCCCCCCCCCAGCACATGGTTAATCCATGCTGGACACTGCACTATTATATAAATGTTAAACTCCTAATTTATATAAATGATAATACATGTATGCATGAAAAATGTAATTGAACTTCTTTGACATGTCTATTGGGATAATTTTAAATGAAAAAGCATGGTTTTGCAACCAAAGGTGGGTCCTCCCCCATGGGGAATTTTTTCCCTATGCATTGGGTAAAGGCCCAAGACAAGAATCCTTTATTGGCCTTGCAGGGCACCAAGAGACACTTTCCAGAAGTTGCTAAGCGGTGACTGCTTGCTGTCAACTGAACAGAAAAAGGATGCTAATCCATCAGTATCTGTAGTCCAGCTATTTCTTGGGCCCCATATGAGCAGATCGGGTCCATTAAACCAAATTATGGCAGAGCAGTCTGTGACTCCTCTCCAGAAGAGAAACTAGGCTATCTTCAGAAAATACTTTTCAACAATAGGGGGAAGGTAGCGTGTATGGGTTTTTTTCTCCCCCAAGACGACACTTTTTGCTGGGTTTGCTGCACTTCTGCTCATAATGAGCCTTGAGAATCAGTAAGATGTTAGGATGTTGTAACGGGCCATCGAGTACAGTGAAAATTCAGCAGTGGTCAAGGTACATACTGCCAGCCCTCCCTTTCCTGCCTACGTCAAATTTGCTTGTCTAAATTTTGGGGCACCCCTTTATGTTGATTTTGGGGGGGTCAAAACTTTTGCCCACATATTGCTTTTAAATCCGTTAGCACTTGGCTTTGGCTTCGGCTGCAAAAATTAGCGAGCTCGGTACCAGAGTAACTGGGAAAATGTTAACGGCCTTGGTTATGCAGGAGGTGACGCAAACGATTGAACGGTCCCTTCTGGCCTGAGTTCTCTGAAGCTGAGCGATGCACTTATGAAATATTAAGCGTGAATCCATTATTGGCTGGGTTTGCTTTTGCAGTGATCCGAGGAATCTGCGATGACTACAATTTGGATTTCAGTGCTTTCTATGCCTGGATTGGACTGTGGAACAGTTTCTTCCTTGTGCTGTATTCCCTCTTTAATTTCAGCCTTGTAATGAAGCTCTTTAAAAGGTAACACTTGCTCTTTTTTAACGGGAGCTGTACTTTGTTCTGCTTACTCAGCGAATAGGAAATGTATACAGCCTGGGCGTTCCCAACGGCAAACCTTCTGTAAAACCTACATTAGAGCATTAAAGTGGTGTATTATCTAGGGGATAAGACCATCGGGAGGGTTTTTTTTTCTCAAAAAGGTGGGCTAAAACTAAGATGCATCTCTTGCACATCAAAAACAAGTCACTGTATTAAAAGGTCGCTCAGAATTTAATCAAATGTGTTAAACTTATCCCCACCGTTTTTTTTTTATTCTTTTTGAGATTTTCATCTTTTCCTGGTTAAATCTAGTATGCAAGAGATGTGAAGGCAGTATGGTAGGATCACTATGAATACCTAGCTTTGTGCTTAGATACTTAAGCTCATCTCCACTCTTAGTGGAGGAAAGGAGGTTTCAGGATTTGCTAGCTCTGACTTGAATCCAATTTAAAATCTATTTACCCCGTAAGCTAATGAGTGTATATGAATACTGTGAATTATTTTTTTTTTTTGTAGGTCAACAGAGGAAATCATTGCGCTTTTTATATCCATCACATTTGTGTTTGATGCCATCAAAGGCATCATTAAAGGTAAGCAGTGAAATGAGGAAATGTTAGGTTTTTTGTTTTTTTTTTTTCCAATTCTGCTATGTGCTTAATTTAGCTGTTGGGGGAAGGGGTGGGGGGTGAAAAGACTGCATTCGTACACTTCTTTGTAAAGCAAGCCATATTTTTTTTTTTTTAAATCTCTGCAGGATGCAACTAGGTTTCTCCCTGCCACCCCTGGGGAAGCACTTCACCTCCCCCACAGCCCTGTTTCAAAGTCACGGAGATTTTGCATTTAAGAATCAGGGCTTTGGTTTCACTTCTCTTCCCTCTCCCCCAGCAGACGGCTATGTCATGTAGCCCCGTGGAGGCAGACTTGTCTAGATGACGTACCGCATGTGGGCTTTCTAGGGGCTGATATTCTTCACTAGTCAAGTGAAGCAAAAGCAGGGCTGGAAGTGCTCGTCAAGGTGTTTGAAAGCTAACCTGCGGGACTTTCTCTGCAGCGGGTCCCGGATCACAACGTAGATATTGCACACTGCTGCACTGCCCGACTTTGGGTGGGGAGTTCGGTAATCCCCCGCAGCGTCTTCTCTCCATCCAGTGCAGGCGACACACCAGGATGTCAACCAGGGTTAAGCTGCTCTGCAGAATCTGCACATGGAAATCAGCCTTCCCTCCAGCTTGGCTCGAATGTGGGTGGAGCGAGGGCTCTGCTGAGCTGACGCCGTTTTTCTTTCCCCTGTTAATTATAGTGCAACAGGTGCTTTGAGTTGTGCCATCTCAAAGCCTTTATAACCAGCGTGTTCCCATTGTGCATGTCCTTTTATTTCCCGAGCCCGCAAGCTCTGCTCTTCGTTACGTTGCACAGAAAAGTTGGCAGTAAATGAAAACCATTAACATGGCAAAGCGAAGCACTTGAAAGTCAGGAAATGCCAAAAATGAAAGTTTCCTGTGCCACCTCAGTGCAACCTCCTACATTGCGATGGCTCCAAGTGTGCGGTCGTGTGCTATTGTTGCACAAGACGCCCGCTGAACTCGATGCACCAAACGGTCACGACTCGTTGAAGGAGCAGCCGCTTTTAATACGTGTAGCTTTCTCATTGCTTGCTCTCTGTAGCCCCCTGTGTTATTTGCTATACACGATTCAGATGCGGGACCCGCATTTGAATCGTGTATAGCAAATAAAGAGAATGATCGGTTCTCCGACACTTTGTCAGTGGCTTTCATCACCGTGGCATCTGAGTTTATCACCAGTCGCAACACTCCCGAGACACGGAGGTGGTGCTTTCCCTTTGCAGCTGAAGCACAGGTCAGGGCTCCAAATGCACACTCATTTTGGGCTGCCCGATTTGAGATACCTAGGGCATTATTTTTGCAGAGCCCATAGCATAAGGTAACCATTCCTTGTTCAAAGCTGACCTCCCATGGCTTTCGACCGCAGCTGTGAGCACGCAGCACTGTAAATCAAGCCCTGGGGTATCTAGTCGGGCAACTGGAAAATGTGGAACATGTGGCGAGTGACTACCGGTGAAAAGTCTGGTTAAGTCTGATTTGCTCTGCGTAATACAGGGAATCGGGTAGAGGCAGGGATAGAATCCAGTTGTCCAGGACAGCAGCTAACTCCTAACCCATACAGCATACAAAGGATAGACACATATTATTAGGAACACGTTTCTCGCAGAATAACCGCTCCCCCTCTGACTTCACTGTCCTCGTGCTCAAGGGAAATGTACCCAACACCTTTTAAAAGGAAAACTTGTGAACAAAAATCCATAAGTTGACCGGACACCAAGATCCAAGGACTAAACATTGCTATCAGGTTTATGGCGCATTATATTTTATCTGATTCCTGGATGCTTTTCACGCAGGAAAGGGGAGACTAACCCTCCCTGCTTTTAATAGGCCTTGATCTCCCAGTATCAGCTTCTTTCTTCTGCTAACTGGGTGTCTGCAACTTCTAGGACTTTCTCTGCCCCTCTCACTGCTGTGTTTTTACTGTGTCCGAGGAAGAAGGTCTTGCATTCAAAAGCTTGTCTAGTTTTTTACCCCCAGTACATAGTTGGTCCAATAAAAGATATCACCTAAAGAAATGCTCGACCCATAACACCATTTGTGCTCTTCCTGCAATACATGCAGGGAGGTAGAATGAAGGTAGTTCAGGTTGGCACCTCCTGTGGGCATAGTTTTATGGTTACTCTACCTCCAGGTCCTAGCAACTCTATACCGAGTATGCGTGAACTGCATATTTTTTCCCTGTAAGGTCATACATCATTTTGGGTAGGTTTCTGCAGAGTTGGCAAATGGTACATTCCTGGTGCACATTGCCCTTCATCCAAAGTTCAAGTCCCTGCTCTTCCACATGGGGCAATAGAGCCACAAAAAGGCACCACATCTTCGAATGCGAATGACTTTTTTTTTTGCTTTTCCCCTCCAATATCCTTCTCGGCAACATGACCAGTTTGCCTTTAATTTTGTTTTCCAAAGGGGAGAAAAAATCAGCCTCAGGCCGACATCTTGCATAGCAAATTTTAACTTAAACCTAGAAACAATGGGGAAAAAACCGGGTCTTATAATGAAAAGTATCAAGCAACATTGGTCAGTGAGGCAGGTAGCAGTGCCTATAGCAGGTGTAGGTGTCAGTTTAGTCCATGGGAGTCAAAATACACGGAGCTTTCACAGGAGTACAGTATGCTTTTAAAAATGCCATGGCATCCTCCTGCAAGTCCGTGTGTATCAACAGCTTCTCAAAACTTGGGTTTTGATATTTCGCACGTTACTTCTCTTCTTTGGTATTCTTTTGCTTTCTTTAATACCAGTGCTTCCCTTGTTCTGAAGTAAGCTATTTTTTACCTACCACAAGAAATGTGCCTATAGAGTGTGGACAGAGTATATACCACTTGAAAGCCTTGTGCAAGTCTTTCGCACATCTCGCCGTTGCACCAGAGAGTGATACTCGTGGGCAATAAAAGGCTGAGTAATTATACTAGTGAGTTCTGGGACACTACATGGCCTACACGTTGTAGGACCATTGTACGTGGCTTTGCAAGGTAGGACGAGGAGCCAGGAGCTGTGAAATCCTGTTCCTTACTTTGGCCACCAACATGTTTTGCTCAGGGCTACAAAACACTTGTGCTGAATTTACGCCTTATACTTAGGCCATACTAAGGGCACTTAAAACACGAACGTCCTCATGTTAAAGTTCATTGGCTCATGCTCAGCAACTCGGCTATGCCACTTCAGGCGAGGGCCAACTCTGAGCCATGCTACCCAGCTGGCGTTGGGGTAACTTCAGTCCTCTCCACAAAAATAAAGTGAGCAATTTGCAGTCCTCCAGCATCGTAAGATGCACAGCTTCCAGCTGCCTCCCGCAACCTGCCTGAGCCCTCCTCCAAGCAGGGATGGAGCCCAGGTGTCCTGGCTCCTAGCCATGCCCCTAGTCACCAGCCCTTTAGCGGTCAGTCAGAGCGGTGCAGGCAAAAAATAGTATTAACCCTTAACATGTGACTGCTCACAGTTTGTTCTTTCTTTAACCCAGTTTAATATATTCCACAGATATAATCTGGTTTCAGTGTAACACACAACTTCACACTTGGACTTCCCTCCTCTGTAAAAATGAGGCTACAGCTACTGGTATTAAACAACCAGCCAGGAGCTTTGTGTTGGTTGCTGTTTGTGCAACCCTTTTTAAATCTTTAGCGGAGGTGAAACGGGTAAGATGGAGGCAACTGTGCTTGCAAACAAGCCGTGTAAATTGTCAGCTGGCAGATTGCAAAGCCCCATTTAACCTTCCTGCTCATTTAAAAGGCCACTGTCAGGGTGAGCACCCAGGGAAATGTTCCTCTTGGGGAAGATCAGGCGTTGATTTGGCAAGCAGCGTTGCTTTTTCCACGTGCTTTGCAAGGTAGTCTTCCAACGCGTGGGAAAGAAACGGGTGAGATCGTCTCAAAGCAGCCGATGCGCAGGCATTCTTGCTCTTATCCCAGCGGCGCTTGTTTTCGACGCGCAGCCCAGCCACCTAAGCCCAGCTGGTGTTTGATCTTGACATTTGCACTCCATAGGAAACAGCCATGCGACAGCTGAAGCAAACGCAAAAAGGAAAGCAGATCCGAGCGAACTCAAAATAGATTGCGTGCTCAGACGGCCTTGTGTCTAAACCGTGCGCTTTTAAAGTGCTTTCTGTAATGAACTTATGCAGAGGGATTCGCTTAGCTGTTTTGTAGCTCCTCGGGTTGCTAAGTGCTCAGCAGCTGAATATTAAATGCTAAGTCCGTGTTACATGGGACTCTCATCTCTGACTGCCAATCATTCCAGCACAGATCCTCATTGCAATGAATCTAAAATGCAGGTGCAATTTCAAATGAGTTTTGTTTTGTTTTTTTCCCCCCACCAACACTTTATCCAAAGGAAACAGAGATAATCCACCTAATCTTCAACTCTGACACGCACAGGTAGTCGTTAAGTTGGATATTTTAAGATTCATGCTCAACGTTCAATCCGTTCTGTTCTGCTGAATTTGGCAATGCTGAATGTTCCCAGAGCATTCAGGCTAATGAAGCAAAAGACTACTTCAATAAGGGTCAGCCTTAATTAGCAATGTCTTTGCCTCTTCCTTTTTGGATCCGAACTCAAATGCTTCGTAACAGCAAGAGGTAGTGGGTATGTTAACAATAGTCAGAAAAGAGGATGCGTTTCCGTAGGGTTGACAATTATTTGGGAACCATTTGAGACTGTTTAATGATCTGTGTACCCACCTAACTGTTAATCCCCAGGAAGTGCCCTTCATTACTACTGTTGCTATTGCAGGAGAGTGTGCTGTAATGGTCAGAGCAGGAAGCTGTAGGTCAGACCTTCTTGGTTCTGTTCACAACTCCATCTGTGACTTGCTGGGAAGGTCACTTCAGTATCCTATACCTCGCTTTTAATGCCCGGAAAATGGGTGTGAGATCACCTGTTTTCACAGAAAGGATGCCCCGACGGTCAGCATGGTGTTGCGAGCTGCAAGAAACGTGTCCGGCTGTAAAATAAGAATCTGGGAGAAACCTTGTAATAAAAAAATATTCTCCCGCAGTGTTGGTAGCATTGCAGGGGGGCCTTAAAACCTCCCCGAAGCAGGCAGATCCAGTAGCAAAAATGAAATTCACACTTCACTTCATTCTATCTTTCATCTCTCATCAGAGAAATTTTAAGATTAAAGTATGCATCAGGAGAATTTGGGGGAGCTTCTGTTTTGTTGGTTGTAACTGAAGTCAAGAAGCTTGCTTTAAAGTGGTTATAGCTGTCTTACCGGCACCTAGCCAGAATATAATGGGGGCGGGGGGTGGTGCTAGTCCTTTGGTTTGCATTAGTATTGGTGCAAGAGGAAGACACAGTGGAGGCTGGCATGCTGGCAGCACCAGTAGCATGCTGGTTCCTCATCTCTTGGCGTCCTCGGGCACAACTGCACTAGGCATACCAAAGAATAGGAAGCTGTCAGTCGCCCTTAAAATGCCGGTGTAGCTAAACTGAAGGCAACTCTACACTCCCCTGCAGAATTTAACCTGAGCCACCTGCTCCTGCACAATTAGAAAGTAGGTGGGAAAAGCATCAGCTTTGGTTCACAGGAACGTGGCATTTTTAAAAAATTATAATTATCATTTCCACAGAGATGTTGCTAATGCAAAACTGAAAATCCTAGGGTTGGGCAATGGGGAGGAGGGTCCTTCAGAAAATCATTTTCAAGTAAAAAGAGGTTTGGTGGCTAAGAACCAAGTACGTCACCCCAGAAGGCTTAGTTCATGGGTTTTTTGGTCTAAAAGTGTTTGGTTTGGGGTTTTTTTGACTAAATGGAATAGTTTCACCGAAACGCATTTCTGCTGGTTGATTGAAAAGCAAACGGACAATGATAATATTGTGAGATGATTTTAAGAACGCAGTATTTGCCACCGAAAGTTTGGAGCGCCCCCACTGCTACCGAAACCGTTTCCAGGGGGAGTGTTTCGTTCTAGAATGAAATGATGCTTTTGCGACAGCTGCTGGCACTACACGTTTTTAGCTGCCACCTCCTACCTTTCAAAGAATTTATATGGACTTTTTGAAACCTTAGAAGCCGTTTAATGGTTGGTTGTTTTCCGGAGGTATTTTGAAACTTTTCCTTAATGCAGGATAATTTAAGATGGTTATAACAGGCATGATAAACCATAGTGCCTTAGTGCTATTTGCTAATGCAGAATTAAATGTGCATTATCTGTTGGGTAATTTTTCTGCTATAAAATTATATTAGGTATATTTAAAGACATGCATGGGTTTATGTCAAAAAACGCCAACTGCAATTTCACAGTATAATTAAAATTTGGGAAATCGATTATCTTGAGCATCCACGCATTTTTTTTCCAAGGTGCCGAGTGCAGTTTATTCGGTATGCTAGCATAAGAAATATACTGTACTGCCTTTCGCTTTTCAATAGAGAAGCCATGATTAGGTCCTAGGAACAAGACCAGATAAAGATGCAAGTTGGACTGGAGAATCTCTCCTACACAAACTCAAATTTGTCCTGTCCAAAAAAAAAAAAAAAAAAAAGGCAGCTGCTTTAAATTCACAACAGAATAACATTTTCATAGAGACCTGGCTGCTTAAGAGAACAGGTTTATCTCAACTCTAAAGGTGTGAACGGTGTAAGTAGAACTGATAAAGGACGGTGAAAGCTAACAATGTTTCATGCTCTAGCAAGGAAGGGCCGCATTAGTTGAGCTCCGATCCTAACAGTTGCATGTTGGTTGTTCGTGCAGTTTTTAAGAAATATTACTACCAGGAGCCCGGAGGAGAGAGTTACTTGAAAAGCACACGGATGGAAGCCCTTCCAAGCCTTGACGTCAATACTACCTTCTTGATGAACTCCTCTGCGAGCAGGTCCATGTCCCTAGGGAATCAGACGGGCGTGAATGACGTTGTCCATTATGGGCGCGAGACTGCTGTCCTGAGTCTCATGTTGATGTTGGGCACTCTTTGGCTTGGCCACACGCTGTATCAGTTTAAGAAGAGGTGAGTTGGATTGGCCTTGAAGTAGCCTGTAGATCACGTTTTGTATAACCTGTTGGAAAGCCTTAACGATGCCAAACTCCCATCTTGCACCCAGAAGAGTTAGCGGGGGTTTTGATTTCGATAGAAGAAGAACGCATCATGTAGCTGACTGCCCAAAAAGCACTGTTCAAACAAGTTTTTTAAGCCTTGGAGACTAGCTTCTATATCTGATGGGGCACTGTGGGGTGTGAGCTGAAGTGGGGAGGTATTTTGTGGATCGTACCAGCTGCCCTTGATGGGTCTGGCAAGAACCTGATCCCTATATGCTTTCAGTGTAAATGGGCAGTCTTCTGGGAACGTACTTTGTCTTGCCGTTTCCAGAAGAGCAGTGGGCAGTGCAATGACCAGCTTCCTTGACCGTTAGAGAGGACCAAGGTCTTAACCTCAGTCTTCCCTTTTGAAATAACTCCTGCTTCAATGTGTAATGAATGGGTAATCCCTAGAGCTGAAAATGAGAGAGATGAGCCACATTATTAGTAATAATAATGGGTGTCATAGCTGCCTGTTGGCTTTTGAGGAATGGATTCACAGATGTTGAGGGCTGGAAAGTACCTTACAAAATCATCGGGTCCAGCCTGCCTGCACTTGGGTAGAAAAGACAGCTGGGGTCTGTGTGGGGCGTGTGTTTTTTGGGGGGTTTTTTCCTCGAAGCTTGAATCCTGCTTTTATTCCCTTTTGGGTTTCCCTGATGCTTTCCCCGACCCTCAAAGTCTAGATTTCAGAAGACTAGTCTGTACAGTAAACACTAAAATCAAGGACTTGGAAGTGAAGAATCAAGTTTGACGACGGCAGGCGCGGAGTAGAGTTGAACGTCTCTGGTTTGAATGACACGATGCTGATGGGTCGGAAAAAAGTGCGGAGTACTAACCAAGCGTTTTTGATCTCTTTAGTCCCTACTTGCACGCCAGAGTCCGCGAAATCCTGTCCGACTGTGCCTTACCCATTTCTGTTCTAACCTTCTCCATTGTGGGATCCTATATCTTCAAGGAAATAGAAAGTAAGTCTGCTTGTTTACTCCCTGAATTACCAGGAGAAAGACATTTAAAACAGATGAAACTGGAAAGGAAAACAAGATTATTGGGAAGAACATTTAAAAAAAATAAAATTAAACCAAAGCTTTGCAGTATATTATTTCCTAAGTATTGTGTTTTCTCTCCTGGCTAATTATGTCCCCAATTTCCTCAATTTAAGAGCGAATTCATGCAAAAACCTAATCAAACAGAATTGCATTAAGTTTCTCCCAGTGAATATACTGAAGTCTGCCGTTTCATTTGAAGTGTATAACCTGCATCTGTTTAGAAAGAGTTGATCTTTTCTGTTCTGCCAAAGAACAAAAGGACAGAGTAATTAGCAGGCAGGAAGGGTTGCCGCCAGCCGGACAGATGTGGTGTTGATGATCTCGGCCTGTCCTCTTTTCAGTGTGTACTCTCTGTTTTCCCAATTAAAAACATAACGGTCCCGAGCATCTGGATGACTCCAAGACATGCAAGGAAATCTAAAAATGATAGGCCATGCATTGGCCAAACAGATCAGCTTTTCCATATCAGGAAGATATAATGGACACAGGGACTGCTTTGTCCCATGTTGACGCACGTTGGGGGGCGGGGATGAGGAAACGTATGGAAACGGCTTTCTTGACGCGACGCTTGTTCCTTCCAATTGGATTGTGGAACGGCAAATTGGACCGTGCAGTCTTTCCTCTAGTGACGATGGATTTCTTGCCGCTGGCTCAAGCCAGGCATGTCTTTATGCTCAACCCATTATTAGGCCTCTTGTTTGGTGAGCGAAAGTTATAAAAATCTTTATACTAGCAAATTGCCTACGGCAGAAGACCGCACGGTGATGAGACAAATTGTAAGTCACCTCCATTTCGGATCCAAAAACAGCCTAAAAAAGCAAGTTCCCTTACTTGTATTATCCTCCAGTTAATAAGGCACCATTATCTAAAAATTATAGGGGAACTAGCCATTATTTGTCAAAGCTAGGGTGATTTTAATAAAACACCTTTTAATAGAGCTGTGATCTTGAGGGCCAGAAGGGGTCATTTAAAATCACCTGGTCTGATATCCAGCATAACACCTCTTTTCCTGTGTTCACAGTGTCCAAATTTAACTACAACCCCTCTGAGAGCTTGTTTGTTCTGGCTCCAGTCCGTTCCCTCTCGATCGGCTCCGTGATGAGTGCAATGGGCCTGGGGTTCCTGCTTTCAATGCTGTTCTTCATAGAGCAGAACATCGTGGCATCGCTCACAAACGCTCCAGAGAACAGGTAATGTTGTTAATCCCTTCCTTTTACAAACCTGGGTCACTTTTATAAACTAATCTAGCTTCAGGGCTGTGTTACCACGTCGTTACAGGTAGCTTGGAATGGATTACGCCCCCCCCCCCCCCCATTAGTCTTTGTGTGTGTGTGTGCGCGCGCATGCACCCCTATAATCCAAATTCTTGATGCTTCAACGGATAGTTTACTTAAGTCCCACAAATTGCTGCTTTGGGCCACGTGTGCTTTTGGAAGGGATTTTTATAATGGGAAAGAATCTGCACAGGCCAGTATTGTGGTGTTTACTTCCAGAAATATCACTTTCACATAGGAGAAATGCAAAGTTCAAGAGGAGTGGTTGCTGCCCAATTGGTTGGTTCAGCCAACTGAGGATCTGAATAACTTGGAAACCTCTCAAGAAAAAAAAAGAGTCAGCTGAGCAGGACCCAAATTACCTTGGCACGTCTGAGATTAATCTTTGTTGGGCCAGAAAGGATAAATTATTTCAAATCACCATTAAGGAAACAGACAATCGGGAAGCTCTTCATTTTTTTGGAAGGCATCTTCCTGACCTGTTTGTCATATGATTGCAAATATGGATCGTCTAGTTGAAAAAGGGAGGTGGGGTGGAGGAAGAGGGAGGAAGATGAAAGGCATGGGTATTGCATTAACAGGACTACAATAAGGTGATTAGCTCAGCTGCTTTCCTGTTAGCCTGAGAATATAGCACCTGCTACGCTGGGTCGGACCAAAGGTCCGTCTAAGACCAGTGTCCCTCCAGCACTAGCGTAAGGTGCTACAGCTAGGGAAGAGTGATGAAAAGCACAAATCCAGAGCGGTGTGGGTGGTAGCATCGCTGCGAGTTCTAGGGGGTTTGGTGGGTCACAACCTCAAGGCAAATCAGGTGCAAAAATAGCAAGTGCAGTTTTGAGCCAAAGCAACAGGAGTCTTGGGCACGAGGAGGTGATTGTGCCACTCTGCCTGATGGTGTTGAAGCCTCATTTGGAGTATTTTGCACAATTCTGGGTTCCATATTTTAGGAAGGATGCGGAGAAATTCGAGAGGGTCCAGAGGTAGGAAACAAAAACAAGAGGTTGGAAAGCAAGCTGGTTGAGAGGACACGGTATGTTCAGGTTGGAGAAAAGGCTGGACCAGCAGACCCTGGAGGTCCCGTTTCAATGCATGCTTAGAGTCATAGAGGTGAGAGCAGGGAGGGGGCACGTGTAGAGTCATCCATCCCCTCCCACTTACCAGCAGCCAGGTTCAGCATTGACGGTGGGTGCCTGTACACGTTCATTAACGTGCCGTACTTACGGCGAGTTAAGTTTTTTAGTACTTGGATAACCGAGGACTCAATCAGTGTGCAGCAATTCGTGCTACTGTGCACGGGTTTTCTCAGACTCAAACTGCGCGGTAACCTAATGCTACTGTGCAGTAATGTACTAGCTCGGGTTTTGCCCGGCACGCTACTGCACAGTTGGCGTCTACACAAGACGCTCCCTGCGCTGACTTAATAGCGCATGATGGAGCCATCCTCCGTATATTTGTGTAAATCAGTGGTTTTCCCATGCTGGGAGTCCACAGACTGTCTAAGGGGTCTGCAAAAGATGATTATCATCAATCAGAAGTATGTGAAGACCCGCACTTACAGTTCACAGGGGTCTTCACCTTCATTGGAGTCCCCTGCGGTGCAGCGGTGGACTCCTGGTCTGCTGCACAGGAGACCTGGGTTCAATTCCCAGATACTTATACACTTACAGCCAGGGGGGCCCCATGTGTCTGGACCCAGTCTGGCCTTTGGATTCTGTCTCAGCGGCCAAAAGCAGGGTTGGAAAGGTCTGGGCAGCCTCCACTCCTCCATACTTCTGCCTAGGCACATGCATCAAAGGTCTGGGTGACCTCTCACGCATACACCGTGATCCAGAAGGATGGACTGACGGTTGCCAGAACATGCGTCACCGTCATCTGAAATGTTTTAGGGGTCCGCAAATGATAAAAGGTTGAAAAACGCTGGTCTAAACTCTTCCCCCCCTGCCCCCTTTCCCCTTTAAGCCTGTGGATTTAATGATCTCACTTATTGTTGAAGTCCTATGGATGCACCTCTGCTACGACTGGCATTTGTGCAGCTCATGTCCTGTTTCAGTGTTTGGGCACATTTGAATATTTCTCTTTAAACTAAGAGTGGTTTACCCAAGAAAAAGAAAGGGGGCTCCTGCAAGGTGCACCGCAGCTATGGTAATTTCAAAAGAAGTTTGAAATGGAGATGGAGCATTTGGAGCTGTGCTATCTTGCTGCTCTCTAATTCGGGATATGGAGGCAGACAAGGTCAAGCGGAGAGTAGAAGTGTTTAATGTATCCCTTATCTTACACAACTGATTTATGCACAGAATTGGAAATGAGACTTTGCAGTATTCAAATATTCCCTTTGATCTTTCCATACCGACTAGAATCAGATGGTGAGGGTGACTTGATGGGATTTTTTAAAATTTATTATTATGGGGACACCGCAGGTTTTCTCAGTGGATGCCTTTATTACCCAAAGGAGGGAAGGGTGGCTCTTCTTGCATAACTATTGACAAAAAAAGCACTGAAAATAAAGTAATATTAGCACAGGGAAGGGCAGAGAAACTACTAGTCTGTGGCTAATCTAGGATTTCTTTTCCACGGCCATTTGAATTTTCCTGTTCCCTCAGTTATACACCTATTTCAGGGGAGAGAGGTTGGCATAAATCTGGAATATAAATGGCTCATGAGTTGGCTTTTTTCTTCCAAAATGGGGTTTTTTTTCCCCATTGTTTGACTTAGAAAAATGTCACATGAAATTTATCTTTGTGACTTGACATGGGGTGTGTGAAAGTGGATCCCCTATGCATTTAAAAAAGGATTGAGATGGATGTGAGAAGGGGTGTACGAAAGTGGATCTCCTAGCCTTGTTGAAAACTCAGTTTGGGGTTGTTCTCGTATGCTGGGGTGGGGCGGCGGGGGTCGGGGAGAGGAGAAAACGTGCTTCCCACCCAAAAGCAGGTTGAGGTGCTTCGTTCTGAAACTAGCATTTGCGGTTCTGCATCATTGCAGTGAATGAGAAGTGCCGACCTGTCTGTGTTGAATCGATCTTTGTGGTCTCTTATATTTCTGAGCTGAATCTCAGCGTAATTAATCTGATGTTTTATTGTCCATTACTTGCAAGTAGGATGGGCTGTCAACTGGATACTTTAAAAAAAAAAACAAAAAAACAAAAAAACACGTAAGGGAATGAATGTCCTATGGGACTGAATGGCCATGCAGGGCCATGCAGTGCTGGGTCTCCAAGGGCAGCCCAGAACAGCCCAGGCAATGCATTACTTTCTCCCTAGGACACTTGTTAGCCAAGAGAAAAACCTGTAAAAGGGCCAAGAGGGAAAAATAAAACCAGGGAAGCCTCAGGGGTGCTGGTGAAGCTTTAGCTGTGCAAGAGCGCCCGACCCCCCTTTTTTTAGCATATGCCTGTAGGGGATGGCTAGACCCGGAGGAGACGGTTGACAAGGAGTAGGACTGAAAGCCAAGCGCTGTAGAGGCCTATTTTCTCTACAGATCTTCAGCAAGGATTTAACTGCACAGCTAATTCACTATTCCCATACGCACAGTGTAGTGAAAAAGCAAGGCTGGAAAACGTCAACTTGCTGGGTGAAAGTCTGAGCAACTCAAGCGGGGGTGGGAAGGAAAATGAAAATGCCCCAGCAGCCCTTGCTACAGCTGAGTGCAAGTACCAGCAATTAAAAAAAAACCTAAAAAAATAAATCCTTCTGGCAGTTATTTTTAATGGCTTGCAAGACATTGCCATTAATAGTATGGTAAAATCCTGATGAAGTTGATGACCAGACTTTTTTTTTTAACGGGCCCTGTTTTATTTGGGGTGATGCCATCGAAGACTGCTGTGAAATCTCGTTTTCCCACGTTGCAGTCTGTAAACCGGCCGGCGTGTTCAACACCGCGTGTGCGGAGATCCGCCGTGTCCGTGCAATTCTCGCTCAGCTATAGCAAGCGCAGCCTTGTTACTACCTGAAGTGCACTTAAACAAACCACTTTATTAATAAGAGTTTATTTCAGGTTAGTGAAAGGAACAGCTTATCACTGGGACCTCCTCCTTGTAGCTCTGATCAACACGGGGCTGTCTGTCTTCGGGCTGCCCTGGATCCACGCGGCGTTCCCTCACTCCCCGATGCACGTCCGAGCGCTGGCCTACGTGGAAGAGAGGGTGGAAAACGGGCACATCTACGAGACGTAAGTAGCAGGGCAGCCGCCAAGCCACGGATCTGAGGTCGGGTTAAAGAAGCCCATTGAGCTAAGAAATGCAGAGGGGTTTTTCCCAGTGGCTTCTTTCGATCTTCTGGCTCGTAGACTCCAGTCTCTTCCTTTTCATACGTTTCTTAGATTTTAGGGTCGGAAGGGACCTATTAGATCATCGAGTCCGGCCCGCTGCCCTGGGAAGGAAGACACCAAGTCATGTCACGAGCTGATCTGCAGCGGTGATTTGTCTCCATTTCCCCTCGCTCTCCCCATCCCTACTGCAAAGCCGCTCCAGGACCTCACTGCTCTGCTTAGGAGCCTCCGTCTAATTTCCAGCCTCTAATTAGTCACGGACGGTTTATACTCGTGTGTTCTTGTGCAAAGGTTGTCCTTTAGCTTAAATAGCTCATCTCCCTACCTAGCCTCCGATATGCTTATACCAAGAGCAATCCAATCTAAGATGATTATTGGGTACCTTCAACTCTTACTTCGTTTCCACCTCAGATGTGCCAATTTGCACGTCTGCACCTTCTCTGCCCTTTTTTTCATTCTGCCTTTGCCTCGCTTTCTCGTGGGAAGAAAGGAGGTTGAATGCAGTGGCAAGGTATTTTAGTTAGTCCCGGGACTACATCTAGGTTATCTTTTTGATCTTTACCCTCCCCTCCCTGCATAGCGGCTCAGCATTGCCTTTGCTTGTTCTCTCTCTATTTATGTGGTTGAACGTTTTGCTACCTTTCGTTTCCTTTTGCCGGTTTTACCTCGGCATGACTGCTGTTATTTCTTGATTCACCCAAGACGGCTTTCTTTTGCTTTTTCTCTCTCTCCTATAGGCTCTCCATTTATTCTACTAATAGCCCTCTTGAGCTGGCTATTCACACAGTTGTAAGGAAGAGGTCCAGCTCCAAACTTTTTCCTCTTTCCTTACAGTCTGGCCTTTAGACCCCGTAACTCCTCCGCATTCAGGTTCTTGAGCTCTTCAGCCCCGTTGTCTTTGCCAGCTCCTTGAATTTCTCAACTCCTTTCCATTTCACTAAAGCAGGGTGTCCCAACCAACACGAGGGCTGTGGGGGCAATGCCAGTGACACCGCACACAAAAGACGAGCCGCGCCGCATGCCAGGAGCAACTTCGCCCCAGGGCCGATGCGCTCCGCTCCCAGCTGCAGGTCGCCAGGGGTGGGAAAAAAGGTTGGGAACTGCTGAACGATAGCAACAGGCCTATTTGGTTATCCTTCTTTTTGGTTGACATTGAATCGGCTTGTGCTCAATAAGTACCCAGCATATTTTCTGCGACCAGCTCTTCTGCCGTATCGTTGCAGCCTTCCAAAGTCGAACCCAAATAGCTTTAGCTGCTGTTGGTTCAGCCGACGTCTAGCGAAGGTTGCTGCTGTCACGTGTGCATATATCCGGGCATTTTTTTTTTCTTCAATCTTTTTAGTCCCCCGTATTGACACAATTCCCAGTAGTGCTGCTCTGTATTATCATAGACATCTATCCCTATTTGCACCCAACTCTGCAGGTCTACAACAGACACCCTAAACTGCTCGAGTCGAGTCTCTCTTAATCCTTCCTCGAGTGATTTTTAAGCCACGCCAGTTCTCTTTTCACCCACGCAACTTTTTCAATCTACGGCATCCTTGACCATTGCTTCCCATCGCCTTTTTGTGGTCATATTTCTGCCTCTTCCCTGAATATAGAGGGCACTTCCCTGAATATAGATACCCTCTCAGCATCTATATTTCAGGAAGGATTGGTATTCTGCTGTGCTTCTACCCGTACCTGATTTCGGGTGCTGCACTAATAGTTCCCGTCTCTCTCTTTCTCTCTCTGCTGTCGTCCAGCCTCATGTTATTTTAACTTGTCTCTCTGACCTTTCTCAATTCCCTTGCCAGGCGGGCGCAGCCCTTTTGCTAACTGGATCACCGACCCGAGTGCTGCATCAATCAGTATTAGCGCCGTCTTCTCCTTCCTGTCCTTCCTCTCCCCCTCTGGTGATCCTCTGGCCCTTATTAGAGCTGTCTCGCTGGCTCTTCTATTGACAGGCATCTCTCAACCCTTCGGCAGGACTGGGACCAGCAAGGGCTGATGTTCATAAGCTTACCCGGTGCATTTTCCTTTTGGGCTTTTGAGTTCACTCCGTTCAAAGGGGATCAGGAACATAAATGGCTACTTTTAAACTGGATTCTGAGCTAAAATTGAAGTGTTTTCTGCTTGTGTGAACTCCCATAGGGATCTTAAACCTCTTGTTTCTATTTTACTGTTCTGCAGAGCATCTTTATCATCTTCTCTCGTCTTCCAGCCTCACCGATGGGAAATGTGAATCTGAATTGGAAAGTCAAAAAAAGTTTTTGTTTTTTTTAATCTCTGGGTCCCAAAGCTCCCCTCTCTGCTCTCAGAAAAGAACTAAGCGGGGAAGGGCAGAGGAAGGAAGAGTCCCAAAAAGGAAGCATAATTTTATTTTGGTGCAGAATAATCTGCCATCAGTCTTAGACAGTCCAAAACTTGGAGCCTGGGCATGGCAGACAAACTAATTCAAGGCAGTGGGTCTGTTCCGTAAAGCCAGGAGCGGGTCATCTCTAATTCTGGGAGCTCCCTTGCCTGCCAAACTCCCTACAGATCTCTTTTAAGCATGTATGAACTTCAGTGGTAGTTTTATTTTCCTGGGAATTACTAATGTGGCCGAATTGAGTGGTTCCCCCCACATCCCCCCACTCCAAACCAGCAAGCAAGGAGAATGGTGTTCCTGCCGTCTCTTTTCAAGAACTTACTCCCAAGCACAGTCTCGAGCTGCTTAAGGGAATGGTTCTTGGAAGTTTGTTTTAACATGGCCAAAATAGTGCAATTTTTTTTCCCCCTTTTATCTTGTTCTTAGAAACAGTTCGAACCATTTCATTTAAGCGTGCCAAAATAGTTCAGTCAGGAGCAGAAACCCAGAATGGGAACTTTTTGATTCAGATCTGGCAAAGTTAAGAGCAACTGTGAGTGTGTTTGTACGAGGACAAGTATCGGGCACCTTATAACTAATAGGCTTTTCCCGCAAGTGTCCTGGAGCGGAGAGCCGTGTCCGCAGCACTCTGCATCAAGACCGTTTATCATGCCTGGACCACTAATGAGATCAGAACAAGCCTCAGTGCTGCTGTTCCTAAATCCATCAGCAAAGGAGACCAGAATTTCTTTGCCACGTTGGATTTTCTAATTGCTTTGGTGGAAAGAAGGAAATCTCTTGGCTTTTTCCTTTCCTAAATCTTCCAGCCCCTGCTTCTGCTTGGCCTCATTTGCGTTGCTCCGCTCGTCTGAGGATGCCGACCTCGAGCCTTCTTTCATCTTTCTCACGGGTCGTGTTATTCATGCAGCCCCTACCTACTGGAATAATCCTTCCAAACCTTTATTTGCCAAGCCATCTTCCTTTCCATCTTCAATGCCCTTCTTAAAACCTCCTCGCTGCCACAGAAAAAGGGAGATGGGGAATGAAATCCAGCAGAAGATGAATAGGAGCTTTAAGGTCCCTGCAGCCCCAAACAGCCTTTCCCATCGCCCTTTTTCCCCCCCTTGCCTCTGAACAACCCCTCTGGTTGTTGCACGTCCAGTCCAGGCAGCCAGCCTTGCTGTTTATTTGTTGCACTTGGCTTGCAAAGAACCCAGCACATTTTCTGAATTCTCAAATGAAGAGATAATATTCAGATAGGTTTGCAAGCCAAGAGGTTGCCCAGAACTTGACCCGTTTCCATGAAACAATATTAATCTCCCATTGTATTCTGCTCAACAATGCAGAGGGGCGAGGGAGTGCTTCCTAGACACACTCGCTGTTTCCTGGACCAGGCAAGCCAAAAAATGTATTTCTTCTCTCCTTTTTTTTTTTCTATTGACTGGGCTCGTGTGCAACAGGCACATGTTCCTGGTCCAAATAGCTCCTGAATGGCCACCATCATTTGGGTTGAAAAGCCATCCAATTCTAGCAAAGAGATGCAGAGGCTTCTAGTTTGTCTGAAGGCTGCTAATCTACAGCAAGCCAGGCCTGGTGTAGATTGGGAGATAACTCATTCTGTCTCCCTTGCTGCTGTCTGATTCCTCCAAAGATGCTTACAGATTTGGGGTTATTTTTTTGCTAGCTAGTACCATGGGGAAAACCTCTCTGCTCTCCCTTTGGGTTCAAGGATGCTCTGGGCAGTGATTTTTATGTTTGCAAGAGTCTGGACAATGGAATATAAGGCTCCAGTTTCCGCTGTTTGGATGCACCTGGGGCTTTTGGAGGGCAATTCCTTTAATGTTCCCTCTAGTTATCTCTCATTTTAAATCTTAGTCCTGGATAATGTGACGGGTCTGTTCCCTTGTTCGCCCATGGACTTGAACTGTTCGTGCCTCCTCCCCTTTGACACTTAGCCCTTCGCCTTTAGATTTGGTAGCTGCCCGTCTCAGTTTTGCTGCAGCCGAGGTGCACGCATACCACATTTTTGTTTCCACCCCCCCAGTTGGACGCAAAACTTAACCCAGTCATTCCTTCCGGTTAAGGGCTCAGCTGTCCAAATAGAAAGCAGGTGGAAGGCTGCTTCACTTGAACGATCTTCATTTTTCTGAGTTCAAATCCTCATCTCCCCACAACCTAAACGCTGCATTCCT